TCCTTACTTACCCCTAAAATATGCTCAGGGACAAATGGGTTGCTTATACTATTCAGTGGGTCATATATCAAAATATGTCTAAGTGCAAGTATGTGCCTGCCCAATAGGTGGCAATAATAGTTATCTGTTACATTGACCAGAATTTTATTTTCATAGCACCCTCCCAATGGCTGTGGGAGGAAAAGAATAGATGAGGTAGATGCTATGTTGGAGAGCTTGGGATTTATCCTATGGCTAATGGGGAGCCCTTGGAGATTTTAAATAGGAGAGTAACATGATCAGATTTATGTTTTAGGAAGATCACTCATAGATAGTAATTAAAGTTTGGGTTCAAATCCTGGTCATCATTGGGTTGGTTATCTGATCTCTCTATGCTTCAGTTTCCTTCCTCATCTGTAAAATAGGAATAAATAGCTCCTACCCTATAAGATGTTTGTGAAGATTAAATGAGATAATTAAAAAAGATAAATGACTCAGTAAATGACTGGCCCAGAGTAAGTATTCAATAGCTGAAAATGATGATAATGATACAATTATTAGAGTGGAGAGAAACTGGAGTTAGGGAAATCAAATGTAGTTAGACAAGAAATAGTAAGGCCCTGAATTAAGAGGGGATAAAAATGGAGAGGATAGTTATGATAGATATGAAAGAAATAGAATTGTTAGACTTTGAAATATGATGCTAATGGGAGGGTGAGGAAAAGGCAGGCGTCTTTGATAGTTCCCAGTTTCCAACCTGGGTGACTGAATTGATGGAGGTGCACTGAGATAGTAAATGCTAGAAAAAAAATGGAAGTTTAGGCGACAAAAGAACATAATGAGTTCAGTTTTTAAGATACTGAGTTTGAGTACTCTGTCATCAATTTGAACATGAAGTCCTGGAGTGTCTCAGCTTCAGAAATAGATTTGAGCTTCATCATAAAGTGGATGATGAAGCTATGCGTTGGGATAAGAGCACCCAAGGGGGGAGTGTGTAAAATAAGAGACTATGGGGTCAAGCATATATTCCTGGAGAGGTCAAGAATATTGAGAAGGGGGCCGGCCGAGTGGCTCAGCTGGTTAAGAGCTCGCTTGGGAGTGCCAGCTCTGAGCAGCAGGGCTGCAGTTCGGATCCCACATTGAGGGCCAGCTATGCTGAGCCCTCTACAGCTAAGATGCTAACAGGTTGAACAGCTCAACCTGGAGCTGGGCTGCTGTGAGTTGCCGGCGACGGCATAGGCTGCAGTGGGCTGCCGTGAGCTATGTGAGTGGCTGGCAGCCAGCATGAGCAGCTGGCAGTGGGCGAGAGCTGCCGTGAGCCGCCGTGAGACTGATTGCCTCACCCGGGAAGAGTGCAATGATCATACCAACATGGGCCAGTGAAGCGACGTCCTCCACAACTAGACTGAAGAACAAAACAGCAATTTGTCTACCTGTCTGTTCCCCTTCCCCGATTCTCCAACGCTGTTCCCCTCCCACAACTCCCCAATAAAATCTTTTTAAAAAAAAAGAATATTGAGAAGGAATTATTGGAGAGATTAGTGACATGGAAATGAAATTGGAGAAGAAGTTTCAAGAAGGAATGAGGGCAGGGGCTGGCCGACTGGCTCAGTTGGTTAAGAGCCTTGCTCAAGAGTGCAAGCTCTGAGCAACCAGGTCGCCGATTCCATTCATGGCCCGAGCTGAGCTGCCGCTGAGCTGCCAACAGGTGGCAGGATGGCTCAGCTTAAAAAAAAAAAAAAAAGGAATGAGGGAGCCCTCAGCAATGTCAGGTCCTGTAAAAGAACTGTGAAGTGACCACTAGGCAGATGAGTTGTTACCAGTTGCTGCCCTTAGGATGCTCACACTAAAAGGTGCAACAGTGAGAATAGGATAAATGCTCTACTATGAAGGAGCTCAGGTAGGGCCATCTGTTATTCCCATTGATCACCAGGGTTAATTTGACTGCCATGGTGGTTGAGGAGGTGGGGGTGGTTCCTTTTCCTGCATCACTCCTTGGCCAAGTAGAATGACCTCTCTAAGAGTAGAGGACCCTTTTTTGGTTAACAGTATAAGAATGGTGGACCTCCCTTGTTTGAGTCTCCAATCGGCAGCCGATGTGCACTGATGATTGTTTCTTTTCATAATACTGTCCCAGTTTGCAGATCAAAGCCCAGAGACAACAGAGTGTCTATTTGAAGACACATTTCATCCTTCATCAGCCAGTTCTTGCGATGTAATGGAAGGTAGGGCAGAGCGTTACTCAAAGTGAGGGAAGGAAGAGTAGAAGGAAGTAGGAGAAATGATAATTTGTGATAATATGTCAGGGTTAGATGAAGGACTAGCACAGGCTAGTTGGGCAGGGTTTTGTTAGGCAGAGAAAGTAGGAGCAGGGAGGGGGGAAGGGGAAGAGAACGTTCTTGGCCAGAGGAATGGTAAAAGCAAAGGTGCAGAGGTGGGAAAGCACAGGCCGAAGTCAGGAAATGTGAGTAGCCTCACTGGATTGCATCTCAAAGTCCTAGCACATGAAGGGTGGGAGAGCAGGCTGGGATGGAGACTTGTGGCCAGATGATAGAGTTCTGAGGGCCAGGGGAGGGAGTTTGGGCTTTCTTCTGTGGTTTGATGGCTTCTGGGAGGAACCATCAAAGGCTTTTCAGGAATTTAGGCTGTCTGTCTCAGGCTTCTCTTTCTGGAAGACCAAGGGCCCAAAGTGGCAGCCTGACATTCAATCTCCTTTTCCATGGTTGAGAAGTCAGGGCTGTAGCTGATTTCATTGGCCTGTTTTGCATTTATTATAGTGTGGCTTTTATAGTGTGTTAATTGAAATATTTCCAACTGCCAAAAACAATTACACTCAAATTGCCTTGTCAGTTATTTTATTGCCAGATAAATGTTTTACAGACATATTTATGGGGGTAGCGGTAACTGGATCTTGTTTTCTATTTAAGGCTGGCAGTTTGGATTGGGATTGGCCCTCCAGTGCTGTGCTGTGGGCCAGAAAGCTATTCGACGTGTGGCACTTCCATCTTGTTATCTTAGGGATCAGAGGCTCTTCAAAGGAAAGCAGCTTTCTGGTTCATGCAGCTTAGCCTCAGAGCAGGGTTCCCATCACTGGAAACCTTGGAAACCTGGCAGAAATCTGAATCCTGCTGACTGCCCTACAGCAACAATCCAAGCCTAAACTGAGACATGTTCTACTCTCCCCCTGGACTCCCTTTCCTCCCCTCCACCACCAAAGCGTCTCCCACAGACCCTATCATGTAAGGGCTTAAGAGCCCGTCTAGTCACATTCCCTTCTTTGCATTTGGGAAACTGAGGCCCAGAGACTTTCCCAAGAACACACATGTGGTCAGCGAGAGCCGGGACCAGAGGTCTCTTTCCCATGTGCCCTTTGGCTTCTCTGCTGCCTTGATCCCTCCTCCAGTGCTCTAGGCCTGCTTTTTCCAATAACCCCTCCCTCACATTCCCAGCTTCCACTAATCTCCCTCTTGCTCCATCATCTGAAACACCTATTGTTCTAAATAGATATTGCAGGGTTTTTGTTTGGCGGAAAATTTTACTGTCCCTGTCATTGTTCTCCTCTTCCTTCATACATGTGTTCCCCTGAAAAGCCCTTCTGAAAAACATTTTCTTGACCTGGACATCCCTGCTTGTCCTCTGATACCCAGCTAAGAAATTGCCACCTCTGGAAGCCTTTCTTGTGCACCCCAGGCTGGGTAGTTGCCTCCAGGCACTCCTGCAGCACCCTGTGCACACATATCTCTATTGCTGGCACAGAGCAGGCTTTCAAAGGAACAAATGCTGAATGAGTGAGGGAGGGAGCGAGTGAGGAAACCCTGAACAGTGATCGCACTCATCTGTCCTCGATGGACTCTGAGCAAACTGGAGTAGGGACCTCACCTCTCTTCATCTTTTTCCCACTGCTTAGGTTAGTGCCTGACACCTAAATAAATGCTCAACAAATGTTTATCAAGTTGCATTGAGAGTGCTGCTCTTGGGAACATAAAAATTGAGCATGTTAGAATGGGAAGGTCATCATATCCAATCCTATGCCTTTTACTGATGAGGAAACTGAGGCTCAGAGAGGGAAAACATTTTTCCCAGGGTCATGATTACTAATAGGTTTGATGGCATTCATTCATTTATTCAACAAGTATTTTTGAACACCTTCTATATTATGAGACAGAAGTGTACAAACAAAGTACCTGCTCATAAAGGGCTTAAATTCAACCCAAACAAGTGTTTAAGAATATAATCTGGGGCCAGCCGAGTGGCGCGATGGTTAAGAACTGGCTTGGGATGCCAGAGGGCCCTGGTTCGGATCCCACATATGAGGGCCAGTGACACTGCCCTCCACAGCTAAGATGCTGAACAACAGCTCAACCTGGAGCTGGGCTGCCGTGAGTTGCCGGCCACGGCGTAGGCTGCCGCCCCTGTGGCAGTGGGTTGCCATGGGCTACCGTGTGTAGACAGAAGCCAGCGTGAGCGGCCATCCAGAAGCCAGCGACTGATCTGCCTCGCCCGGGAAGAGCGCAATGATGGTGCCAACTTGGGCCAGTGAAGCAACGTTCTCCACAACTAGACTGAAGAACAAAGGGACAGCAACTTGTCTGTTCCCCTTCCCCCAATTCCCCAGTGCTGATCTCTACCCCCCAATTCCCCAATAAAAATCTTTAAAAAAAAAAAAGAATATAATCTGCTCTCAAAAATCCCCTTAATGCCTAGTGCAGAGCTGAGCACTTAAAATATGTTTAAAAAAATGTTTATTGAACTTGTTTCAAATAAATGCTTGGTACTAAGTTACTGGTTGCTTTCCTTGGGTCAGTCCCACTGATGCTGGAATGGGGTTGCCTCAGATACAGGACCTCCTTGACTAGGCTAAGGCTCACATGTTGCCATTAAGGAGGACTATTTCTGAGACTTGGGAAAGCTTAGTATCCCTTCCCTGCGAGGTCCCTGGGCAGAAGCCTCCCTGTAATACTGTTTCTGATTATCTCCATGGAGATTTGCTTATGACTTACCTTCTGTTTCTGTTCTTTCAGAGCATCACTGTGAGCAGAGGAGCCAGGAAGAGAGTAAGTGCTGAAACTACCACAATCTCTCAGCAAGAAACTAATAGCGCTTTTTCTCTTGAAAATATTAGCTATATATTTTTTAGAAAATTCAAATGAGCAAAAAGAATATTAAAATCACCCTTAAACCTACCACCCCAAGAAACCTCTTAGTTAAATGTGATATTATATCCTACCAGATATTTCTATGCATGTATAAAACTTACATGTATTTATTTTTAAATAGAATTTCAAACTTTATATATTATTTTATAATCTGCTTTTATGTAACATATTTAGAGTACCTTCCATTGCCAATAAATAAATTTTTTATAGCATCATTTAAAATTACTGCATAATATTTTACCATATGTTCCTTAAGGCCATATCATAATCAGCTCAACCATGCCCCTTGATTGGCCTTTTTTTTTTAAACTTTATTGGGGATAAGTGTGTTTTTTCCAGGACCCATCAGCTCCTAGTCAAGTTGTTGTCTTCAATCTAGTTGTGGAGGGTGCAGCTCACTGGCTCATGTGGGAATCAAACCGGCAACCTTGGTGTTAAGAGCCTGTGCTCTAACCATCTGAACTAACCAGCCACCCCCATTACTGGACATTTAGGTATTTCCTCTTTTTCACTGTTAAAATCAATCCTCCAACAAACATTCAGCAATTAAAATGTTGGGCATATCCTTGTTGTTTCTTTAATATACATTTCTTTTTTAATTTTAATTTTTTCAATCATAATAGTATAAATCTATATACACAGAAATGTGAGTCTAAGAGTATAAACACTTATTAGGCTTTTCACAAATATTTCCACATTGCTGTTTAGAAAGGTAGTACTAATTTATGGTTGCCCGTTTTCTCATAACCTCACCAACACGGGTATTAGTTTTATTTGGTTGGTTTTATTTTTGTTGTTGTTGTTGTTTTAATTATCACCAGTTTTATAGTGAAAATTTTGCATTGTTTTATTTTGTATATCTTTGATTTCTTATGAGGGTGAATATTTTTAAATATGTCATGGGCCATGTTGGCAAGGTGTTTAACTGTCTATCAGGAAAAGGAAAAACTGCTAGTCCTTGATTTTTTTACTCCAAGAATCTAATCAGACTGTGAGTCTTAAAGTTATCAAGTACTGAGAGTATTGCTGTAAGAGTAACCTTAAGGTGGCAAATTGGAAGGTAAAATATGAATTAGAGTTGCAGTAACTTAAAGAACAGCTGGGTGTCCTTTCATTTTGCATAAAGCCCTGCTTTTGGCAGCTGGTCCTGGCCATTAGCTTCCGGACTGTGTGGGAGGCAGTAGAAAGGAGCCAATTCTTCTGGTCCCACTACTGGGGCCAAAGGTCCACCACAATGTTTCAGCTAAGCCCTGACCCCCAGGAATAAGGTGGCCATGATATTCCAGGCAATGAAAACTGTGGCCTGAGTAGCTCTTTTGGACTCTTCCATGAGTAGTCTGTTGTACATTTTGTATTCTATGTATCAGGGGCAGGGGTTGGCTTCTGGGAGGATTTGTGAATGAAGGTGCTTCCTGCAGCATGCTCACTTGCCCAAGCAAATAGGGGACTCCTGATCTTCATATAAGATTTTTGTCCAGGATGAAGATGCAGGGACCGAAGTGGGAGAAGGGACAGATGAATGGGCCCAGTCCAAAGCCACAGTTAGACCACCTGACCAACTGGAGTTGACTGATGCGGTGAGTGAGTAGCATCCTACCCTTGCTCCTTCCGTCTCCTCCAGCCTGAGAGATGTGTTCCGTCATAGTATTGATTACGATCTTGCACAGAACCTGGGTGTGAGATGTCTGCTGACACCTGGTGGGGGGAGCGTGGGGGGTGGTCCTCCCAAGCATCAGAGAAGGGTGGGGGCCCTCCATGTATGACCCTTTTGGCATTTCTCTTCCTTAGGAGCTAAAGGAGGAGTTCACCCGAATTCTGACAGCCAACAACCCACATGCACCCCAGAACATTGTGAGGTACAGCTTTAAAGTAAGTCATCCCCTCTGGGGCAGGTGCTTTTAGGTGCTCCTTGGCTTGGCAGTGACTTGCCACATTGCAAAAGCCTCTCAGCTATTAGAGAGATCATCACCTTTAAACTGAGTTCTTTGGCTAGAACCCTGAAATTTTACATGGAGTTTTCTAGAGATTTTTGAAATCTCTTTATGAACCTTCCTCTCAGTCTTGCTAATTGTATTGTCTTAAGTGCCCTGCAGAGCCACTGTTTTCAAGAATCCTAAAGTCAATCATTTGGTTAGAAAAATACTTTTCCAATGTGTATAACACATTTTTCACTAACATCAACTATTGGATCTTTGGAAGCTGAGTGGTCCTACAGCTAGACACTTGGGTGGAGTACAAACTCCCCTCTGGACAAGGAGCTGGCCTTTTCCCCCAGCATGCCTGCCTGGACGAAGCCCCAGTAGACTTTGTTCTTAGTGTCTCTTGACATCACAGTCAGGCATGCAGCTGACTCCATCAGGGCCTTCCCTTGGTACATGTGGTATGGGCATGTTCTCACTTGGTAGACATGTGTGTGGTACATCTTAAAAGGGACAACACTAGTTTCAACCATAGCAAAATCAGCTCCTGTGAGTACTGACTGAAGAAAACTTCCAAGTACAATTTGAGCTAAGGTGGATGTGTGTGTATATTTTTTATTTCATTCTCTTAAGATCCATTTGTTTCATGCTTACTGTGTGCCAGTGTCAAGTCCTATATTAGACCTTTTACATAGGATATCTCATTTAATCCTCAGGTTTTTTTGATATAGGGACTATTTTTATCTTCATTTTATAGAAACTGAAATTAAGGGCCGGCACAGTGGCGCATTGGTTAAGAGCTGGTTTGGGATGCCAGAGGGCCCCGGTTCGGATTCCACATATGAGGGCCAGTGACACTGCCCTCTACAGCTAAGATGCTGAACAACAGCTCAACCTAGAGCTGGGCTACCAGGAGTCGCCTATGTCGGCAAAGGCTGCAGCCCCTGCTGCAGTGGGTTGCCATGGGCTATCATGCGTAGCCAGCGTGAGCGGCCAGCAGCCACAGTGAGCGGCCGTCCAGAGGCCGGCAACTGATCTGCCTCATCTGGGAAGAGCGCAATGATAATACCAACATGGGCCAGTGAAGCAATGTCCTCCACAGCTAGACTGAAGAACAAAAGAACAGCAACTTGTCTGTTCCCCTTCCCTCAATTCCCCAGCGCTGTTCCCATCCCCCAATTTCCCAATTAAAAAAAAAATCTTAAAAAAAAAAACCACTGAAATTAAACTAGATAAAACAAATTACAAAAGTCACACAGCCAGGATTCAAAGCAAAATTTGAACTAGCTTCACTCTAAAGCAACATCACACTGCTTCATATATACATACATACATATATGCATATACATATATACATATGTGCATATATATGTATATGTGTGTATACATATATATGCGTATATATATATATACATATAGAATAGAATAGAATAGAATAGAATAGAAACCTGTGGTACAAATTTTAAAAGAACAATAAAAATATACAATGAAAATTAAACCTCTCTCTTCTGTCCCCTTGCCTGGAGCCCACCACTATAAACAGTTTCTTTCTTTTATAAAAAACAGTTTTATTGAGATACAATTTGCATACCATACAATCACCCATTTAAAGTGTACAATTCAGTGTATATTATAGTATATTCACAGACTGTGCAACTATCACAATCAATTTTAGAACCTTTTCATTTCCTTCAAAAGAAACCCTGTACCTCTTAGCTGTCACTCCCTAGTCCTCCATCCCTTCCAGCCCTAGGCAACCAGTAATACACTTTTCATCTCTATAGATTTACCTATTCTAGGCGTTTCATATAAAAGCAGTCATACAATATGTGGTCTTTTATGGCTGACTTCTCTCACTTAGCATGTTTTCAAGGTTCATCTATGTTTTAATATATATCCACACTTCATTTCTTTTTACTGTCAAATAATATTTTATTATATAAATATGCCATATTCTATTTATCCATTCATAAGTTGATGGACATTTGGATTGTTTCTGCTTCTTGGCTATCATGAACAATGAATGATGCTATGAACATTCATGTACAAGTTTTTGTGAACAGTTTTTTGAACATACTGCTTCTTATTTAAGATTGAGTCATCAACCCCTCCAAAAAGAGGTTGGGACAAATACATATGTATTTCCTAAAAGGTTCCACTCCTGATTTGTGCTAATGGCTTCCCTTGGGCAGCCCGTAAAGGGGCAGAGGGGCATAAGGAAGCTGCCTCGTCCTCCCTGAACTTATGCTGGAGTGTGGTGCACTCTGTGGCCTCCTGTCCTTCTGACGTCTGAAAGAGGGTCTCTAGGACTCTGTGTGCTGGCCATGGGAGGCACGCTACAGGCAGAGGATTGGCACTGCCTTATGGGTGTCAGTGAACTCTTCTTGCCATCTGAGAAGCCTACTTATTAGAAAAAAATTCCTTTGCACCATCTGTCAGCTGAGTAGCCCTAAGCTCCCAGGCAAGCTCACTTTACCCAACCTCCTAACAGCCTCCTAGGCCTGCAGCACATCCTCCCACAGAACTAGTCTCCATCTGATTGGTCCTTCACTGAGATTCAAGAGCTTTAGATCTCCAAAGCTACTATTTTCCCTTCAAGTGCTGGAGTTGGGAGGCAGATGGTTCAGATCTAGGCATGCCTCCCCTCCTATCATGGAAGCAATGGAGTCTGAATTCCATTCCTAAACTGAAAAGGAAGGTGCTAGTCGCTGCAGGGGACAGAGTGAAGGTGAAGTCTCAAATAACAACTGTATGGTTCCCATGGGAACCTCCATAATCATAATAATGGTTACCATTTTTTTAAAAAAGATTTTTATTGGGGAATTGGGGGGATGGGAACAGTGCTGGGGAATTGGGGGAAGGGGAACAGACAAGTTGCTGTCCTTTTGTTCTTCAGTCTAGTTGTGGAGGACGTCGCTTCACTGGCCCAAGTTGGCACCATCATTGCGCTCTTCCCAGGCTAGGTAGATCAGTTGCCGGCTTCTGGATGGCCGCTCACTGTGGCTGCTGGTGGCTCACGCTGGCTGCTTGCTACACACAGTATCCCATGGCAACCCACTGCAGCAGGAGCTGCAGCCTACACCTCGCTGGCGACTCACGGCAGCCCAGCTCCAGGTTGAGCTGTTGTTCAGCATCTTAGCTGTGCAGGGCAGTGTCACTGGCCCTCATATGTGGGATCTGAACCAGGGCCCTCTGGCGTCCCAAGCCAGTTCTTAACCAACGAGCCACTCGGCCTGCCCCAATGGTTATTATTTTTATTGAACACTTGTTATATGTCAGACACTATGTAATAGATTGTTTTCATTATTTTACAACTATTCTGCAAATTAGATATTATTATCTTAATTTTACAGATGAAGAAATTAAGGCTTAGAGTGGTGAAGCCCAAGGTCATGCAGATAATAGGGACAGAATCAGGATCTGAATCCAGTTCTGCCCACCTCCATAGACCATGTTCTTAAACACTGGCCTATCCTATTTCCCCATCCATCTGAGTTACTGGGAGAGGAAAGGCTTTGTGGTGACTTTTTAATGCAGAGCTTCCCAGCCTGTGTGCAGAAATAGTGATCTTTTCAGCCCTCCAGGGTCAGGTGGGTCTGGTACAGCTGGAGCCCATAGGCTGGTTTCCTCTGTAGTGAGTTTATCCCAGTATGCCATATAAATGTAATAATTTTCAATATGACTTGAAAAAGTTTGGGAAAAACTATATGAAAAGAAGGAAGAGACCCTTGGTTTCAAAGTCAACTTTAGGACTGGGCTGCTGGTCAATGAGGAGACAGTCTAAAGGAACAAGGCTATAGGCTTTATGAAAGTAGGGATCATGTCTGCTTTTGCTAAGCTTTATATCTATCCCTGGAACCTAGAAAATACTTGGCACATTGTGTCCATTCAAAAAGCATTTGTTGAAGAAGGAATGAACAAGGTTGCCTGGGCTTTGTGCCCAGCCCTGCTTCTCATTTGCTATGTGATATGGACAAGTGCCAAACCCCAACTTTTTCTAAATTTCTGTGGTCCTCTTGTATGGAACAGGGGGATTGGGGATTGGGTGTCTCTGAGAATCTCTCCAGCCCTAGCATCCACTAAGTACAGTGGAGAGAAGGCCAGACCAGGTGTGTTTGATGACTACACGTGTGTGTGACATGCCCTATGGTGATGACTATGTTTGACCTGAGGTGTGTGGTGAAATAGGTGAGCCAGGATATCTTGGCCTAAATGTAGGGGCCAGTGACAGATAAATCCAGAGCTGCTTAAAGGTGGAAGGAGAAGGTATTTGAAAATATATCTTTGATGAGAACTTAAAATAAGCAGACAAACTTCATTTCATTTGCCTCCTCTACTCTAAATTGGAATGCAGTGAAAACTTCAGGCTAACTGAGGATTTGGTGGGTTATATTTTTGTTAACAGATGGACTGTTTTGGGCCTTAGAGAATGAAAGCAGCCCTTTTAAGGACCCCTGGTCTAACTCAGCCCCTTTCTTCTTAGGAAGGCACATATAAGCTTATTGGCTTTGTGAACCAAATGGCTGTTCACTACAGCCAGGTCGGGAACCTGATCCCCAAAGACTCGGATGAAGGACGGCGGCAGCACTACCGCGATGGGTTAATGGCAGGTAGGCCTCTGGGCCACGCTGAGGCTGCAATCTAGTCTCCTTTCTCTGGTCACTCTAGGGAATAGATTACTAAGCCAGAACTTTGCAGAATCTCTACTTGTGTAAAGTCCAACAGCTGGCTATCTTGTGTAGGTCTGGGAGCTAACCCATGAGGCTCAGGCCAAGGAGAACCCTGGGGCAGGTGAGGTCTGAAAGGCAGGAAACCGGAAAGCCTGGCCTGCCAGGGGATGGGGGAGTGGGCCTGGATTTGGGTTTATCAGCAATATCCTACCAAGGTTCTCAGGAGTCTGCGAAGGTGATAGCTTCAGAAACAGAATTACTTGAAGAAGAAGGGCCCAAGGAAGCAGAAGCTGAAGCTGGGAGTCAAACAGATGTGCCTGCAGCTGAGGTACAGTACAGTATTGCTCTCCATCCTGTCCTGTCTCCCTCCAGCTGTGGATGGAAGCTTCAGGGGTGACTCACTGGTGGTGGGAGTCTGAAAGTGAGAAGTTAGAGGCCACAGGTGCCAATGCCTCTAGCATCATCACCCTCTGCCACTACTATCCTATTCCAGGACATGACTTCTCCCCACTCCCAATTACCCACCACCTTCTTCTCATAGCTGTGTACTGATCCTGTGGGTCTTTTTTTCCAGGCAGCTGAAAAAGTGACTGAAGAAGAATTGATAACTCCTAAGCAGCCCGAAGAGCGAAAGCTCACCAACCAATTCAACTTCAGTGAGAGGGCCTCGCAGACCTTCAACAACCCTCTCCGGGTAGAGCATCCCCCACCCAAATCACTTTACCTCACAGCTCTGCACTGTGCATGGTAGAAGAAGCAGGCCTGACGGACCCCAGCCCCAGCAGCCCTCAGTCTGGCAGGGTGACAGGGTAGACACCATGGTTAGTCTCTCCAAAGACAGCTGGGAGCATGTGTTCAGGCCCCTGTTAAGCCAGACAGGAGTGCAGAGGAAAGTAACAAGGAGGCTGGAGCCCTCCACTAAGAAAGTGAAACTTGAATTGGGCCTTCAAAAGAGGAGGTCAGGACCTGGGGAAGAGATAGGAGGCCAGCATGTGCTGGGGCTAGGAGCCAGTTTGACTGAGGTTGATAGTATCTGTGACAGACTAGCTGGAGAAGGCTAAAAAAGTAAGAATGGAGGACCCTGAGTACCAGGCTGAAAGAACCTCTCGGGGTTTCAAGTGAGAGACTCACGTGTATAAGGCAGTGTTCTATGGAAATGAATCTGTGAGTGGAGGGCAGAGGTCTATAAGGTAGATTTTTGGCAGCTCCTAATCATTTTGTGTCGTCCCTATGCTGACATTTGGTAATCTGGGTGATAAACAATGTAGAGGGAACATATTTTCCTGGTGGAACCAGACACCCCAGTATTAGAGAGAAGCCTTCTCAGGGAGTGGGATATTAGCCCAATGGCCTGCCAGAGGCTGTCCTCTGTGTCCTGCATCTGGAGGCTGGCCAACAGGCCTGACTTCTTGCAGATCTGTCCATCACCTCCTTGGAGTTTTCCTTGGTTGAAACTGGTACAGTCAAGCTTCACTGCCCCTGCTTTCTAGCTTAAGCTTCTCCTGAAGGAGGTTTGGATGGGAAATGTATGCTTTCACTGTATCTTTGGCCCTTTTAGTTCTCGGGCTCTGGCCCTGGCCCTATTTACTTCCCCAGTTCCATGTCTCACCCCACCCTCAGCTCCAACCTAAATGCCTCACCCATGGATATACTGTTGGGTTGAGTGAAAAGGAGCTAAGGGCTTTCTGTGGGTTTCCTGTTGTCGTTGTTCTCTAGGACCGAGAATGCCAGATGGAGCCTCCTCCCAGGGCAAACTTTTCAGCTACAGCCAATCAGGTGAGATCCTGAGCCAGTCTAAAAGCCATCACCCCATCCCACCCTCATGCATTCTTGTCTGGCTCAGCAACAAGGGAGACTGGTGTGGTCAAAGAGTCTGCGGGCAGTCTGCCCTTCTCATCCGTCTCCACCTTTCTGCTCCTTGTCCAGGCTCTGAACACCAGGCACGAGACTCTGGGTCTGCATCCAGTGAGCTCTGGATCAGCCACATACCCTCCAGGGCAAGGCTGACCAAACGGGAAACAGGCATAGCTTCTGGAAGTTCCTCTAAGACCAGGGCAGAACGTTTGTTCCCCTGGACTCTGTGTAGCCCATAGTACCCTGTGGCTGACCCTGACCTTCCAGCAGCCTTCAGTGTTCCTGCAGACCCTCCTTCCCCATCAGGTCCTGCTGGATAGCCATGCTGATTTAGGCAAGATATTGTGCCAGGAGACATGAGCTCAGGTGCCAACTCCACTGCTCATACTGTAAGATCTTGGCCAAACCATGTCACCCTTAATGCCCGTTTCTTTCTTTACCAAATGAGGATGACAAGCAGCCTGACAGGGTTGTTGGAGGTCTCTGAATGAGATATCACTGATGGACACTGCAGTGTGGAGTACTGGCTCATGGGTAAATTATTAAATGTAAAGTGTGCCTTTCTGGCCTCCAGGTGGCAGTGACTGCCCAACTCTGGAGAGCACACAGTGTGATCTGGGGCATTTGCCCAGCCCCAGATCCTTTCTGCTTCCACTGCTACTATCCTTGGGCTTCTCTTAATGTCAGATCCCGTTAACAGGGGTTCCCTTATTTTTTGTTTATCTTTTTATGCTGAGAAGCTGTGGTCTGTGCTGTAGACAGCCAGCCTGAGCTGATATGTCTATCCCGTCTCCATGGGGGGAGAAACTGTTTAAGTTTCCTAGTTCAGAGTCCTATAAATCACCAAGGAAAATGTGAGCTAGCCTGATGTTTGCCCATTTGTTTTGCCTGGTGGGGGTTGTAGGCTGGAACAATACTGATCTCTAGCTGAAAACCAAACCCCTGGGCTGCAGGGTGGGAAACGCAGCCCAGAGGTGCCCTGAGAGCTCTTTCATTCCTGTCCTAGAGCTGATGGTTAGCAGGGAAGACAGATGTTGAATATATAATTACAGTGGGCCAAGTAGAGGATGGTGTGGAAGTATGTGACAGGGGTTGACATGATCAACTCCTCAAGCCCTAAAGGCTGAAGAGGAGCTGGCTGGGTAATGATTATGCCCTGCATGACCCTTCTCATATTGCCCTTGCCTAGTGGGAGATCTACGATGCCTATGTAGAGGAGCTCGAGAAGCAGGAAAAGACCAAAGAGAAGGAGAAGACAAAGACCCCAGTGGCTAAAAAAATGGGGAAGATGGCCATGAGGAAGATGACATCTGTGGAGTCCCAGGTTTGGTGAGGGTTATCATGGCTCTGTCACAGATAATAACTGAGTGGGACCTTGGCCGCTGGGTAAACAGAAGCCTGGCTATCTGGGAGGACTTCACAGACACATAAAAGGGTGGGGGGCTAATGTTTAAGTATGAATAGTTCTTTCCTTGTGGGAAGATGTGAGGAGAGCTACAACTGCCTGTGACATACTACACCTCCCCCAAATTTTGTATAGGTCTGGAGGCTAGCAAGGATTTGATACTGTTGGGTTAGGGGGCAACAGAAGATATGAATGCTATTGAAAATCTGATGTACATCCTGGAAAAGCTGGGGCATCTTTCCAGGGTTGGGTGGGATGTGAGAATAAGGTACCATCTCCCTGGACAAGGGGTCGTGGAGTTTGGGAGGATGATTTGATCTTTGATCGTTAGTGCTTGGGTTTACTTGTGCTCAATTCTTTAGGTGAGTCTTCAGGGCTGACTCTTCATAAGTCAGAGCTGATTATGGGTACCAGCAAATCCAGACCAATGGGTGTGGCTACCCTGGGCTGGATTTACCATGAGGAGCCATATAGGAGTTGTTATAGAGGTCATGATAAATGGGTGTACTGTGCGTGTAGCCAGCATAGGTTTGGCAATCATCATGGAAGTTACAGTGAGAGGCCACTACAGGAAGGGTTACCATAGGGAGATGTTGAAGGGCCACATTTTCCCCTTCAACAGAGAGAAAGATGGGTCAGGAGCCAGAGTCCCAGTATGGAAATCAGGATGAGTTTGATTGGCAATGGAGTGGGAAGACTGAGGTCTGCAGGAAGCTAGGGTCTGAGTTCAGCACGTTGGAGAGCTCCCAGGCAGCTCTCAGGGACATGGTTCTGTTCCACCCTGAATAGAAGCCAGATGTGTTAAAGGAAGTTCTGCTTCCTTTGTCTGAGGTATGCCCACTTCCATTCAATTCCATGTCTCTGATAGTCACATTTTAGGAGAGGTTTGAGGGTTCCCTGCCTTGGCTTAATAGATACTACCCCAGCTCAGCTTCATTCAATCACAGACCAAGCACTTGGTGATCATGACTATGCTGGGTACTGGAACCCTGAGGTAAAAGATGAAGTTTTTGCCCTAAGGGTTGCCCTGTCCAGACCTTTGATTTCCCCTGCACCATTCCCTAGAGGTTAGGGGCTTCAGAGGAGTTGTTGGCCTAGGTTAGGGTTCACTGAAGATCCATCAGGGGTTTGGCTATGGGCTCTATGCTGGGACCATGGTTACAGAAAACTTAATTGCAGTCACAAAGACCCAGAAACCAGCAGAAAGGTCCCTGTGGCTGAGAATGAAAATTGTCCTTGGGTCTATGCCTTACCAGAGTTGGTGTCTAACACCCTCACTGAGGCAGTGGTACTACACTGGGTTCTTCCAGCTTGGCTGAAGTGGAAGGCTGCAATGCAGACAGATTCCAGCCCTCTGGACCAAGAAGCTGCAGTGGAGGCAGGACACTGTGTCGGAGGGAATATAATATACCCACCCCCACCACCAGTGAATACCTTAGTGTGCAGCCTCTCCCCAGGGGAATTGAGCTCTAACTGGGAATCCCAAGTACTGAGTCAGGCTGTCTGTGGAACTAAGTGGGAGTGGTAATTACCTGACCCCTTGCCCAGGCACAGTGCATGAACAGAGTGACACCCACTTCTCAGAGACGAGGGTCTGGTTAGATTGGTATAAAACTCAAGTGTGCAGAAGGAGAGAAAGCAGAATAACTTCATGACACTCTGTAGAAAGGTCTGTAGTGGTAGATTTCTCAGGTTTCTGTTCCATTATGTGGGTGAATGTACAGAATAAATGTAAGCTTGTCGATCTGAAAGATTAGGACAGGAATGGGGGAAAGGGCTCAGAGGCCACAAGTTCACTCAGAACCAATAAAAAGCTACGGCCACTCAAGTAGTATAGTATCCAGAACAAGGAAGGCAACAGTCCACCATACTCTCTCCTCAGAGCACATCTGGAGCCCTGAGTCTCCCAGGACCAGAAAAGGGTGGCCAGACTGGAGAGGGACTGGCTCTCTGTTTGGGGCTGAGAGTATGGGCCCTGGAGTCCACAGACTTGAGTTTACATCCTGCCTTTGCCACTCATTAGCTGGACTTATCTAAAACCTGTTTCTTCATCTGTTAAGACATCCTAATGACACATACTTTGCCAGATTGTCATAAGCACCCAAGATAATGTATGTATAGCTTCTAACATAGTATTTGCTTGGTGCTGATTGATAGTTGGTGCCATGCCACAGCTGATGGAGCTGGGAGGGTTCATCTGAAGAAGTGCTAACTTAGGGAATGAGGCACTGTCCCCTACATCAGAGGAGCTATTACCAGGCACATAATTTTCTGTCGCCAGAAGACAGAGAGTTAGGACCATGGGTCTAAGACCCAGGGAAATAAGTTTCAGCCAACAGACTGCCTGACCACAGAAGATTCTCCTGGAGACATGGGGAGAGTCATTTGCCAGGAAGATGCTGAGGGGAAAGGATTCCTGCTTTGAACCGGGGAGTAGGGGGAGTAGCTGCTACCAGGTGAACTCTGAGGACTGTGATTGTAAGACTACAATGAATGTCCTTGGTCAATTTTCTGAGATAAACTTGGAGTCAGTTTGAGACCTGACAAAAGGCACTCAAAGGGCAGTTCCCCATATGTGACTTTATAAGCCCCACCACACTGGTCTGCATCTTTCCTCTGACACCACCATCATCACCACCAGGCACTATGTTATTAATACCATGTGCATTACTACATTTAATCCTACAGTGACCCTATGACACAGGTCGTGTTATCCATTCCCACTGTATCACAAGTACTCTAAGACTCAGAGAAGTTAAGCAACTTGCCCAAAGTTGCTGCATGGCTCCTAATCCATAAAATGGGATGTGAATGCAGGTCAGGGTAGCTCCAGAACCCATTCTCTTAACCACTGCATGACACTGCCACTCCTGGGAAATCTCACCGTCTAGAGCCATGTGCGTGGCTCTCTGGAGCCACTGGTTCACTCCTGCTATCTGCCCTAAACTATTGTGTTTTTCTTGCCAGTCCTAAAGTTTTTGTGCCTTTAATAACATGCTAAGTGGTTCACCTTGTGGATTTATAGAATTTCACAGAATGATGATCCTGTTTTTTGGTTCATAATGAGTCATTTTTCTCTGACATGAAACTTCTTGCTTTCTTTTTGGTCTGGGCAGTGGGCAGGGCCCTGGATTAGGAGTCAGTTCTGCCTTATACTCTCTATGTAAAGCGTGTCTCTCTCCCCTGTCTGGGCCTCTGTGTCTTCCTCAACTCTTGACTAAATCCCTGAGGCCTTTAATGGGAACCTTTGCCATTGCCTGAGCACGTGAAAACTCTCTGTCCCCACCAAAGAAGCCTCCTTCCTGCCGTCGACTGCTCTCCCTTCCAGTACCTTCCCTTGGCTCTCTTCAATGCCCTGTCTTATGCTCAGAGATATGCCTTCTCCAGAATGAAAGAGCATGAGGCAGGCTCTGCCCAGGAGCCAAATCTGGCAGTGCAGACTCCTTGTGCCACTTGTGAGCTAGGCATTTCCAGGAGGGGTTGATGAGGTAGACTGGGCCTTGAGGCATGAAGAGATACCTTTACAGAGCTATCTGGGGTGGGTGGTATCAGAGAGGCATGGCTGAACCAACTGCAAGCCTGGGCTGTGGCTTGGGGCATGACCTTTTATGTGCTGACTTATGAGAACCTGTGGCCTCTGTATCTCCACAGAGTGATGATATCACCAAAGTGACCCAAGCTGCTAAAATTGTAGAGCGGATGGTCAACCAGAATACATATGATGACATTGCTCAAGGTAAGATTTGAAGATTTTGCCCGCATTAAAAATCCCTTGTACAAGGTGAGTATTTATTTGAATATCCCATGCTAGATGCAAGTGAAGAACAAATAATCCCTCCTTCCTCTGGATGTCACTAGGGAGACAAAACTTACATGGGTTAACCATGAATAATGGCATAAGAAAAAAAATGGGTGTAGTAATGAGATCTGACAATGGAGCAGCAAAAACAACTGCATCTTAGTGATTCAATGTCATCTTCCCAACAATCCTGGAAGGCAGGCAGAGCCAAGATTGTTACCCCTACTTCACACATGAGGGAGCTCTGGCCAACGCTATCTGGCTAGTGAAAGGCAGAGAGGGCCCAAATCTAGGCCTTGAGCTTCCTAATTCTGTGCTCTGTTCTCTACTCTGTCTGGCTTGGGGACAACATAAATGCTAGGATACGAACATAAACTACTCTGGGAATCCTCAGGAATGGAGGTAGGGAAATGAGAATTGAGTGGCAGCAATCAAGGAAGGCTTCAGGGAGGGTTGAGCTACATGCCAAGGGGTAAGCTGAGTTTGAGCAGGAGATTAGCTGAAGGGTAGATGTTCTGGGCAGGGGACAGCACGAGCAGTGACTCTGTGGTGAAAATGAATTAGAATGGACTCTGGGGACAAGGGGCAGCAGGCTCAGTGACCCAAATGGGCTTTGTTGGAAGGTTGTGAGTGTTTAGTCTGATGAGGTGATCAGAGCCAGTTAATGAGGGGCCTCGAATATCACACAGGGAATCTGAGCTTTCTCTGAAGACAGTTCAAAGATACTGTCCACGCAGGGACACAGCCTGATGAGAGCAGGGCTACAGGAGGATGTGATTGGGCAGAAAACAGGGACAGAGGCGAAGATGAGTTTCAGGTGTGGGTTGGAGTGGGCCTTGCCACACCTTACCCAGACTGCATCATAGGGGAAGGAGAAAAAGGAGCAGTTATAATAACAAGCACCAGCATTCCCTGGGAATAGCCTATGCACCAGGGGTGAGAAATTCAGGCTGTATTGTTGACTCTTGTTCAAAACCACAGCTACTGTGAGGTGTGAGTGGTGCGATCAGGACTCGAACACAGGCCCCTTGGATCCATAGCCTAAGCACTTCAGTGCGAGGCTACAGAGCCACTGAGCTGGAAGAAGAAACATTTCGAATAAACTTTCAATAGGTCCATGCCGGTGATTAATTAGTGATGAGGTGAAGAAAGAGATTGATTCAGAAATGCTTAAATCCTGGGCGCCTGGGAAATTCTGGTGTCTTGACAGAGCCAAGAAAACGGAATCCTTCCCAGGCCATGAACAGCACATTCCCAAGTGGCTTGTATTTCCCTAAGAGGTTGTGCATTTATTTGGAGCAGCTGCATCCCCAGAGTTGGCAGCTCCTCGCTGCTGGCTGGTCTCCTTTGCTGACAGCCTAGGGCCCTTCTTGGTGACTTGATGCTTATTGCTCACCCATGGGACATAGAAACCAGGGCTGCCAAGACCAGCAGCCTAAACAAGCCCCCTTGTTATCATTCAGGCTGGAAAACGACCTTGAGTGCTTTTCAAAGCTGTCAAAGTACACAGTAGCTCTGAATGAATTTGTCACTCACACAGCTTGGCTTCCTGAAACCCAGCCTCTGCAACCAGCCCCCAAAGGGCGGCAAGTGTGATTAATATCCAAGGAGAACTTGGCCTTGTTGAACCTTTTTCATTTATAAGAACACAGTCACATAAAAATGCATTGAACTTTGATTTTTTTTAATTGCATACTCTTTTCCCTCTGGGAAAGTATAATCATGAAGGAGAAGTGAAAACAGAGAAGTGTTACCAATTAGTCTCTCTGAAATGAGGCATTTTCAAAGATAGCCCGAGCTCAGGGATCTCTGATGTGATCAAGGCTCATGCCTCTGACCACTCTAATCCTTTTTTGTTCTAAGATATTTTTGAGGTTTGAATGTAATCCCACAGCCTCAAGGTGCGGGACATTGTGAGACATTGTCCTTGACAGTGTTAGATGAACGGATTCATTTTCTAATGGGTCACCCTTGGCTGGAAAGGAGAGTAAGAACCATTCACTCCTTTTGGTTTATTTCATTGCATGCTTTGAAGAGTCACTGGATGTCTGCTCTGTGGCTGGTCCTGTGCTCTGCACTGTGGATCCGGAGATGAATATCACATGCTTCCTGCTCTCTAGGAGCTGTCTGGTGAGGGAGACAGGCAAAAGGATAAATAGAGGCAACACAGTGTGACAGATGTTTCAGCAGAGGAGAGGCGCAGGGCTGGAATAGAGAAAGACATGAACTCTGCTCAACAAGAATGTGAAGGCCTCACAGAGGAGGAGCAGGTTGATCTGGATCTAGAATGAGTAGGAGTATGCCAGAAAGATATAGAGAAGTAGTACATTTTAGACACTATTTGATATAGAGGGTGTATGAACAGCTGGCCGGAAATGACATGGAAGGAAGGGCTGGGAGTCTTGGTTTGGCTAGGGAGCCCCTGTGTAAGGGGAGCCATTGAGGGGTTCTCAGTGGGGTGGAGGAGGTAGTATGGTGAGGTGACTTGTTCTTACTCTGGTAGCTCTTTAGAACATGGACTGGAGGAGTTACTGGAGGTAGGGAGACCAGTTGGGAGAATGGTGTAATGCTTCGGGTGAAGGCTACTGGGGCCTGAACCTGGGCAGTGGCTATGGGTTTGGAGAGAAGTGAATGGATTAAAAAGATAATCAGAAGGAAAATATGAGAGATGATGGAAAGAGATCAGACAAGAGTCACCCAGATTTCTGGTTTAGACAAGTGGAAGGATTGATGGGGCTTCTACCAAAGTTAGAGGAAACAAGAGGCAGGACAGTTTAGGGCAGGAGATGAACTTTAGTTCAGAGAACCCATGAGAGATCCAGGCAGTTTCACGATATAGTGTGGCATGGCAGTGGATATGAAGATGGGCAAACCTGGGATTTTATTTGTGCAATGGCTGCTTCATTGTAATTTACCTCCAAACACAATGATGACAATAATAATAACACATATAGAGAGCTTGCTATGTGCCAGACGTTTTTGTAAGTACTTTACATATACTAACACAACCAATCTTTACAAGAGTCCTTTGAGATAGGTACTATTACTGTTCCCACTCTGAAACACAAAGAGGTTCATTGCTTGGCCAAGGAGGTACAGACAGAAAGTGGTGGACCTGGGCTTGCCATATAGTGGCAGTCCCAGGGCTGACTCAGCCTGTGTGTGTTTAAGATTTTAAGTACTATGAGGATGCTGCTGACGAGTACCGGGAGCAGGAGGGTACGCTGCTGCCCCTCTGGAAGTTCCAAAACGACAAAGCCAAGCGCCTGGCCGTCACTGCCCTCTGCTGGTGAGTATAGGCATTGCCGCAAACCCAGAAAACCCCTGAGTGCCTGCTGGGTGCCAAGCCCCTGAGCAGGGCACTTCTACTGACTTGTAACATTATGGGAAAAAATGGGACTGGGATTTGGGGATCAGCCCAGGTCTCTAAGCTCAATAGCAGACGTCTTCAGTATTTATAGGCACCGGTGTTCATGGGAGAGACAAGTCCATTTCCTGGGCCAATAGGTTCACATTTCTTTTACAGGAATCCAAAGTACAAGGATCTGTTTGCAGTGGGACATGGCTCCTGTAAGTAATCTGGCTATTCTTTCATTTGCTCACTTAACCAGCAAACACTAAGTGCCTACTCAATGCAGAGTTCTTTACCAAGTGTGAAAGATACAAAGATGACTAGGATATAGTCACGGCCCTCAGAGTTCACAGTGTAATGGGAAAAACCAGCAATCACACCAGCAGTTAGAGCTGGGTGAAGAAATATGCCAAAATGAGACTTGAAGGAGTTATTATGGTGAAGAAAGAAGAGGTCACTTCTGGCAGAGGGGCCAGCATATGCAAAGGCCTGGAGACTCCAACAAGAGATATGGCAGGAAATAAAGCTGTGAAGGGGGCCAGGGTCAGCCCGCACAGGGCTTGGTAAGCCATTCCAAGAGGCTTGGCCTTTCTCCTGAGAGCAATCTTCTGACCTTCTCCAGAGGGAAAACCACTGAAGGAATTTGAAAAGGGCAGGGACACAACCAGTATAGGGGGGAATTGCAGGCATGAGACTGGAGCCCAGAGACCTGTATAGAGGCTGGTGTAGGCATCCTAAGGAGAGATGGCAGGATCAGAACCGTGACTATGGAAGGGGGATGAGAAGGGGGTTTGAGAAGCTTGAGAAGGTAGGCTGGACCAGACCTGGGGAGGGAGAGGATGGTGGGGGCCGAGGGAGGGGAGTTCTAATCAGACCTGGGAGCAGGCAGGGTGGGGGCAAGTGCTTGATGTTCACCACTATCACTTGGCCTCTGAGCCCTGGGAGACCACCATTGTCCAGGGTGTTCCTGTTCCTGCCAGTCCCCTCCCCTCCCCCACAGCAGGGCGTAGCACTGTGGTAACTATAACAATTTGCTTTCCCTTCATGTTCCTGGGTTCCCGCAGAAGCCCCTATCTCCCTGCTGGCCTGGACATTCCCCCTTCCTAACGGGAGAGGGCCCCACACTTCGCTGGAGCTGGAGCTCCCCAGGCTAACAGCTTGTTCTCTGGCTGGGAGGATCAGTTTCTGCAAACAGGAAAACCTTTCCATTCTCCAAGCTGCTGCTGGCTGGCAGGCTTACAAGCTCCTGGCCTCTGCCCCTCAGACTGCCTGTCCGCCCATTCTTTGACCAGGGTGGGGAAGTGGTGGGGAGGGCAAGGAGGAGTTGGTGTTTGTCATTCCTCTCAGGGAGACCTTGGAGCTGCTCCCGGTCTCATGGTCTGGGCCGCCTTTGAGGATACCCTAAATGCCCGCTTTGTGTCCCTATTTCTGAGGGTGGGCTGCTGCCAAGTGGGAAGCACCCTCCCCCTCTGGCAGGGAACTAGCACATTCCTCCCCCTCTGCTGCAGCTACTGGGCCTGGAACAGGGCCTGGGCGCTGGGCAGGCCCTCCCAAGAGTGGGTGTAGACTCCACGCTCTCTACCCAGGCCTGAGGTGGGTGTGTAGGGAGCTCCCCAGCAGGTGGGAGGAGAAACTGCCTCAGCTGTAGCCCCATCTTCCTCCCACCCAGGGCCAGAAGCAGGGTCAGCTGGTCAGAGTCATATGGAGACTGTCCATGGGAGCAGCCTCAGCCAGGAGCAGTGGGGGAGAGTAGTAACCCACCCCCCAGGAATAGATGACCTCAAGTCCGACAGGCCCAGCAGCCTCCTTTAGGCAGGCAGTCAGCCAGGAAGGGTCTCTGTCCTTTGTTGGTCCTTTCATCCACATCCACATGCCTGGGAGGTGCCACAGTCAGCTGTAGACCTTCTGCCTGGAGGGCCACTTCCCAGTGGTCTGACCACCTAATGGTGGGGCCAGAAGCCTCTCTGAGCCTTGGTTTCCTCATTGGCGATTCGGAGAGCCTGACATCTGCCAGCTCTGCACCCCAGGGCTGTTGTGAGGCACGCTTGAAAGAAAAGCAGTAGATGTGCCCTATGAGCTGTGGGATTACCCGTACATAAGGACAATCATTGCTGATTTGTCTATCATTCTTTCCCCTAGCTTGCCTGCAGTATTGTCAGGGGAACTGAGCAGAGAGAGAAAGGAGGCTGTTGGGACAGAGAGGAATCAGACAAGGCCCCTACCTACTCTTTGAGAAAGCAGGGCCTGGGGGCAGCAGTGATATTTGCTGTTGCTGTCATTGGCATGGGAGTTGTTGACCAGCTTTCAGATAGGCATCTCTTCTCCAGAGCCCCACATATCTCAGTAATGCTCTGCAGAGGCCTGAGCAGAGCCTGTCTGGGCTGGGACTCAGAGCAGCCCTTGCATTCACTTCTGCAGTCACCTCTGAGAGTCCCGTGCTCTTCTTGAGTGCTCAAGTGTCTCCCTGGAAGAAAGAGGGCCAAGCTGAGGCAGGCCAAGGGCACCCTAGTTACTGGACAGGGTCATTGTGGGGAGCAGGTAGCTCACCAGCATCATCCCATGATCTTTGTAAGCTCCCAGGTGCCAGCCTTCCATCATCAGACTTTGCCTCATGTGGACAAACACTGGAGTGAGAATTTGGGTTTGACCCTGATGAGCTCAGCCCAGGCCTCCTTTTGTCTGGAATTCCCAGATGTTTAGTCTCTGACCCAGCCAAATAAGCTCTATACCCTAGGAAGGATGGGGGCCAGTCCTCCATTCTGGGGACAGGGAAGGTTGTCTGGAGCCAGGCCAGGAACAAGTAGGTGGGGCAAAGGGAATCTGGGCAATTGCCTGCAACAGCATAGAAGCATTCGCATCTGCCTCTCCTCTGGGCTGCTGGGTGCCAGGTGGTGAACATGCCAGGCTGTGTAAGGGGTGCTCAAAGGGTAGAGACTAGCTTCTCCCTGGGGCCAGGCTCCAGGTTCCCAGCAGAGCGGAGGAAGAGGCTGGCATCAGGTGAAAGCAGATGGAGGAACACTGGAGGGCAGAGGGAGCTAACCAGTCCAAGAAAGGGGGCAAAGCTGGCAGGCAATTATGTTGGCTTGCTGCTCTGAAGGGGTCATTTCCAGCCCATTAGCCTGCTCATGGCAGGGGAATGGGGACTCCTCGTGGTCTGTCAGGCAGGGATAGTGGAACAGATCTTAGAAACTCTGTGTGGTCCTGACTAGCTATCACACAAGAGATGGGAAGAAGCTTCCCAGCTGTCCCTCAGCCTAGCCTCCCTCTGGGGAGAGCACCGTCAAAAGGAGCCAAAGTCAGGCCCTGAATCCTAACACTCCACTCATTCCCAACTCATTCCCACCACATCCCAGCCTGTCCCTGAGCCTGCCCAGGCCAGAGATACACTTGTAGGGATTTAAATCTTTCCATTTATTTGTCAGCTTCACTAATTAAGCAGTGTTAATGTCATTTACTGAAAATGGAAATTCATCCACCTCATTTCTCCCTCTTCATCCCGCACACGCAAAATCCATCACTCCTCGGCTGCAGGCTGCGTAAAATTTACAGGCCTAATTATATTGTCAGGTCTCTTTGTAAATACAGTCCATAAAGGCCACTGTGCTCACCGGGTGGTGTGCAAGGGCTTTCCTGTTGTTAGTTTAATTACTGGTTAGTTATTGAGGTTCCCAAATGTTTGCCTCATTTTCCCTAAATCAAACTAAATGTCCCGCTTGGTGTATTCTGTCTCCAAGACCTTGCTCTTACTTCTCACACTGTTTAAATATGACTTCTAATCGGATGAGTGCTTGGAAAAGCCCAGCTGCCCAGGAGGCTGAGCCCAGCCTGGCACCATGTCCTCTGGGCCATGCTGGTGGTTTGGAACCCTCTAGCACTGATCCCCTTTCTTAGGGCAGCCTTGGTCTGGACCCCTGCCTTTGGGGACTGTGAAAATCCTAACCCAAGGGGCATTTCTGTTCCTGGCATCCAAGGTGGCAGAGCTGGGGTGTGGGAAACAGAGGGAAACATTGTCATCATAAGAGCTAGGGATCATTGCATCCATCCTGCTGACTTCTAGAGGGACTGCTCCCAAACCATCCCAGGGAAAGGCACCATCTATGGGAGCATCTCCCTCTGATTCCTAAAAGTAGGGTTTGGGTCAACCTCCCCTAAATACCTACAAAATTAGTGTGCTATGGCTGCTATAACAAATGACCACAAACATAATGGCTTAAAACAATACAAATGTTTTATCTTATAGTTCTGGGGGTCAGAAGTGTAAAATAGGGTTCACTGAACAAGAATCAGGGTTCAGCAGGGCTTTATTCCTTTGGGAGGCTCTAGGGGAACATGCATTTTTATGCCTCCCCCCCACACACACACACCAGGCTGCCCACATCCGGTGGCTTGCGGCTCCCTTCCAGCCAGCAATTGCATCATTTTGACATCTGCTTCTGTTGTCACATCTCCTTCTCTGACTCTCTGCCTCCCTCTCTCCCTTATAAGGACCCCTGTAATTACATTGGGTTCACCCAGATGATCCAGGATAATCTCCCCCATCTCAAGGTCTTTAACTTAATCACATCTGCCAAATCCCTTTTGCTGTGCAAAGTAGCATATTTATGGGTTCTGAGGATTAGGACAGGGACATCTTGAGAGAAGCCATTATTTGGCCTACCACAGCCCCCCTCCATGTGCCTCTTGCATGACTTAATAAAGGCAGTCATTAGATAGCTGCTGCCTTAGAGTCAGCCCTGGGCTGGACTCATCTGGGGTACCACCCTAAGAGAGGAGGAGGCCTGCTGTCCAAGGCTGGCTTGGAATCCTTGTTTCTGCAGGTTGGCACCTACTCCCCTGTGACCACTGACCCACCTTTAGCATGATGCTCCGACATGCCTTCTGCCTGCCTTGGCCTCCCCGAATTTTGAGCAGGAGCCCAGGCTTCTCCTGACAGCGAAAACTCTCCAGAGTAGACCCCCATGATCTAGAGCTGTTACTTGTAGGGCAGGGGTGGAGCTGTGGGCCTAAGGTCCCTGCTGGTGGTTGCCAGTTCAAGAAGACATCCATCCATCCTGGGCACTACTCTGCCAGGGCCCTAGCAGAGGGAGCTGAGGGCAGCAAGAGGTCTATGGTAGAATTAAGCTACCCCTCCCCTGAGACCATGGCTTTCTGAGAACTGCCAGATCAGGCTCTAGGAGGCGGTTGATTCTCCTCCCCCAGATCTTGTGAATCATTCATTGAAGGGTAGACTTAGAGATTATCCAGCAGAGCAGGATTAGCAGGAGGCAACCCTCCCATTGGAGAGAGCAAGCCTGTGAGCCACACCAGATCATGCTCACTCCATCTTTTGGTAGTGGGCTAAGGAAAAAACCCTGCTCACGACCACCTGTAATAATGAGATATAAGTAGAGGAGCTCATCAAGGTGTGTGTGGGGGGTGGGGTGGGGGGGACTCACAGAGAAAAGGCTGAATGGTCTGGAAGGCTTCCTGGAGAAGGGCAAAAGTACAAAGTAGAGTAGGGGGGCTAAGGCCAGGCCAGCAGCCCTTTCCCCTCCTAGAGTCTCTGCCCCTTTATACAGTGGAGAGTGGGGTTGGGGGCTCCCATCTCTGTCACTGGACCCTTTATCCCTGCTTTGAGGAGCCAGAGAGTTTGTGGGATTCAGGACAAAGTACCCCAGGGTCCAGGGCCCCAGGCTCTGTAGCCTTGAGCCTGATGGTATTCTAACCCCCACTGGAAACTGAAGCACTGTAGGTAACCTTGATGCCACTGTTACTGTGGGACGGTTGGTGACCTGGCTGGTGACATCACACTGGGAATGTTAGAGGGCTGGGAAATGATGTAACTAGGACTGCTGGTGGCCTGCATGATCACATCATATGGGGACCATTGGTGGTCCGGGTAGTGATGTCATTTTGGGGCTTTTGGAAGACAAGGTGATAATATCATGTTGGGACAGTTGGAGGTTTGAGCTGTGATGTCACACTGGATATACTTGGAGGGCGGAATAATGAAGTTTCATAGGGGCCACTGGAGTCAGGATGAGAACATTATAAAATAAGGAAAGGAGAGGAAGCCCCAGTTCAATAAGAGTTTTCTCTGTTTTCCCAGTGTAGTTTGGCAGATAGAGCCCTGAATTGGAATTCACGAAACATAGAGGCTAGCCATCATTAGAAACTGTGATCTTTATCACAGGAGGGCTCATTTGGTTGCAAGTACCAGAGACCACTAGAGCCAGGTTAAGAAAAGGAGCCTTATTGTCTGGATGCATGTGGCCTGGGAGCTGAAACCTTAGTGTGATTGGTTGCTGTGTGTCCCTCTCTCACGAAATCCAAGCCCCTCTCTGCCAGAAGTTTCCTCTTACCATGCCTGACTGTCGTGTCCTTTACACATTCTGTAGACCAGATTCAGGAGGGATTGGATTGGCTTTGCCAGTCACCACCACCCCGTTAGGTATGGTGCCCCGTCTCCCTCCTTTCTCCACCTCCCTGTAAAGACCAGATTTGTGTTGTTTTCCTGAGCAGGGTAATTTTAGCTATAAACAGGATATTGGGGGTGGCAAACACCATGTGATGGGTCTGATACACTTGGGCACACCATTTCTCCCCTCTAACCTCAGTTTACCCATCTGTAAAACTAGGGGGTCATTAAGTCTAGCTTCTAATCCCATTAGTTCTGTGAATGGCTCAGGGATGTCCTCACTATAGAGTTAATAAGCCAGCCTAGGGCTTCCTATCCTCCTTTCCTGGCTTCACTGGTTATGAAGAGGGTGCTTGAAGTTTGTCTAGAGCAGCGGTTCTCAACCTGTGGGTCGTGACCCCTTTGGGGGGTCAAATGACCCTTTCACAGGGGTTGCCTAAGACCATCGGAAAACAAAAAGATATTTACATTACGATTCATAACAGTAGCAAAATTACAGTTATAGAGTAGCAACGAAAATAATTTTATGGTTGGGGGTCACCACAACATGAGGAACTGTATTAAGGGGTCACCGCATTAGGAAGGTTGAGAACCGCTGGTCTAGAGCAAGTAGGTCATCACTGCTGTCTCTCAAGGGGCCAGGTCCTGTGCCGCAGTAAGAGCAAGTAGGTACAGTAAGGAGAGCATCTGAGTCCTCAGTCATCCACCTGCATGCCCACCCACTCACCCTCTGTCAGTCTTGCCCAGCATCAAGGACAAATAGACATCAAGGGCATCTTCAGTAGCTCAACCTGTGATTCCCCAGCAAGGGCTTGCCTCATTCCGTAGCAGGGCCTGGCTCTCTCATCACACTAGGGGCTGCTGAGGGCAAACCCACACCTCAAGTGGAGTGTCTCTGTCCCTGCCAGGATCCAGCCCAGAGGGAGGCCCAGATTGGGTGCTCAGGATTTGCGTGGTGAATAAAAGGAGCTCCCAGTGACTGTCACACTGCCTAGTTCAAGCCCTTCATGATCTGGGTGGGAAAGAGACTCCCCTCAGCCAGGTGCAGATCTCTCCCTTGGAAAGTCAGCCCTTGGGGCTCACTCTGGAGCCCCACGGGTAAGATGCTGCCAGCTCTCCTAACCGCCCCCACCTCAAGGCCAGCTCCCTATTGGCTTTGACATATTGCCAAGCACAGGGTGACCCAACTTGGCTCAAGAGGATCTGGAAGACCCCCAGCTCCTCCTCTTTGTGAGAGGCTCACTTTCTCCAGAGTAGAAGCATTTCCCTTCCTGACCACTATGTGTATGGCGGGGGGAGGAGGGGCTCATTCAGCTAAAAGGTTGCTTTACCATAGGGCCCCCAAGATGGGGGGCTGTTCTAGCCTTCCACCTCGCCAGGTCTGGCTCTTTTGAGCTTGGGAAGGGTCCTGGGCTGGTGGCAGGAGAGCTGGACTTGAGAGCTGGGACTGGATTGTATTCCAGTGACTGGATTCATTACCAGGATAGGTGCCAAGTATGCAGAGAATGAAAGAGTGGGAAGCACTCCCTTGACATGCGGCAAGCAGAGAGGAGTACTTCTGCCCAGTGGTCCATTGTTAATCACCAAAAGCTGTGCCCAGGCCAGAAGGATGGCACAGTGGCCTATGGAAGTCTGACTGGCTGGTCAGGGACTTCTTGATCCTGGGAGCATGCCTAGAGTTGCAAATGGGGACTGAGGGGCCAGAGGGGATGGGAAGATGCCCAGAGGTAGCCAGTTTGGGACTCACACAGACAATTCCATGTTAGTCCAAACTGAACTCCTGTCCTTGGCTGGGAGGCTAGGAGGCACATAGGCATTTTGCAGACCTCTAAGGACAGCAACCTGCTCCTGGGTGGGGCATCTGAACCCTCTCTGAGGATACTGCTCCCTCCCAAGCCCACATACATTCTGTACTTAGCTGCTCCTTTAGCCTGCATCTCACCTTCCTGTACCTCAGGGAGAATAAGGAGAATGATGATCAATCCCTCAGGTGCCTGGTCACCTTTACTGATTGTTGGATCCTCCCATGAAACCTGAGAAGGGGTAGGCCAGATCTCATAATCGCATTTCACAGACAGAGAAGATGAAGCCCAGGGAGGGAGCCCACACTCTCTAGCAGAAGCAGAGCAGGGCAGGCCTTGTCCATCTGGTGGGGAAGGGGCATGGGGCTTGCCAGTAGGGCAGTTGGATCTTCCAACCACAGAGGCTCCTCTTCCCTGCGGCAGATGACTTCGTGAAGCAGAGCCGGGGCATGCTGCTGTTCTACAGCATGAAGAACCCCAGCTTTCCTGAGTACATCTTCAGCAGCGACAGCGGCATCATGTGTCTCGACATACATGTGGACCACCCCTACCTGGTGGTGGTGGGCCATTACGACGGCAACGTGGCCATTTACAACCTCAAGAAGCCGCAGTCCCAGCCTGCCTTCCGCAGCTCAGCCAAGTCTGGGAAGCACACGGACCCTGTGTGGCAGGTCAGCCTCGAACCAGGAAGGAAAACGTGGGTAGGGATGAGTAGGGTGTGCTCCTGGGAGCCACTAGAGAAGGGACTTTGGGGAGGAGAGGGCCACAGGGAAGAGGCTGGGGATGACAGATACTAGGTTAGAGGCCAAGGAGCTGGGTGAAGACGGGGCAGAGAAGGGCGGAAGGTGAGAATCAGGAGGTAAGAGGGTCTACAATAAGAGCTAGGTATGCTGCCCCAGAGCTCCCCTCAGAAGGGCCCATCTGCCTGCTAAGGATCTCTTAGGTGTGGTGATTAGTGACTCAGAGCCAGTGGCTGGAAGCCTCCAGGGCCTGACAGGCCTTTGCTGAGTATGCCAAGGGCTCCAGTTCCCTATCTGTGGGTTTCCTCAACTCCTCATAGGGCTCTCCTCTGCCATCTGGGCTAGATATGGGGGGGACTCCGAGACAGGTGTGGGAGTTGCCAGTTGTCTGCCTGCTTGGTGGGACTGTAAGACCTGGCGGGTCAGGTCTGACGCTGAAGCTTCCCTGTAGCACCCCTCTTCTCCATATGGACATAGAATGGGACCATTACCTGGACATTGGGGCTAGATTTCACCCTGTCTCCCATCTTATTGTACTAGGAGTGGACTTCATGGTTTCAGTCTCAATAGGTCTCTTAGCTCTGGCTTTGCAGGTCCTTCCTCTCTGTGTTCCAAAGTTTCCCCTCCTTCTGAGACTGTGTACTCTTACCCTGTGGGCAGCTCTGGGAGAATCCATGGATAGATTTCTGCCTCTGGGCTCATCAGGCAGTGCTGGGACTCTGTCCGTCTTCTCGTCTTCTTCTGCCCCCTGCCCTGACACAGTATGCAGTCAGGCTCCGCACCCATCTCTTCTGTTCCTAAGCTCCCTGAGTCATGTGGACATCTGCCCCAGGTACTGGCTCTCAGCTCCCAGATAGACCTGAGCGGAATGAGAACTGTCCAGGCACAGAGGACATGGTGCTCTCTCAGCTTCATCCTTTACTGAGAGCCAGGTCAGGGGGAGAGAGGCACCCTTCCCACTGAACACCCTCCCTGATACTCTCCACCAAAACAGGGGCCAGAGCTTGCAGCCTCAGGAGTTTCTCTCCACTGGAAAACCCACCTCCCAGTTCATTGCCCCAGTTCTTTGCACATGGAGATCTCCAGACATGGGGAAGATGTCTGTAGGGATTTTAAAGCCCAGGGAGAGGAGAAAAGAGCCTCTTTAACAGGACTGAACCAACATCAGCCCTGTTCTCAGTCCAGGGCCAAGCATGGGGCATCTCCGGTTGGCCTGACCACCCTCCTCAAGCCCAGGAGAGGGTGAGGGGACACGGCCAACCACCCTGCTCCAGCTCTGCTATGTTCTCTAAATCAAATAGCAGGTTAGGGGAAGAAATGGGGCATGCAGAAGACATATTTTCCCTTTCACTGGGCAGGTGCCAGAGAGACTAGAACCCATCTGCACAGGGGTGGCCTTTTGCTCTCCCAGCATCCTGTCAGAAAAACGGGGCTACTGCCTTTGCAAAACTGAAGACTCAGAGTTCTTGGCTAAAATCATGGCTTGGGACATAGGAGGGGCCTGCCTGTCTCCCTCATTTACTCACTTCCTGTTTCCTCTTTCCCTCTCATTCCCCGCCCCCCTTCATCATTCATCCATCTAATCATCCATTTAGTAACTCCTCCCTTTTTGCTCCTCTGAGAGCTGAGGATGCTTAAGGGCTGGGTTTCTGGAGTTTCTAATGGAGAGATAACCACAGCCACAGGCTGAGCAGGACAGGGATGTATGTTATGGGCAACAGAGGGCTCATGAGGGCACTAAGGAGGGGCACTCAGATTGTTCAGGATGGGGAGCAGGGCCAGGAGGGCCAGGGAGTTCTTTCTAGAGGAAGCAACACCTGAGCCAAATTGTGAGGGATGAGAAAGTATTAGATGAAGAAGGGTACAAAGGGGTCACAGGTGCAATGACACAGGGGCATCAAGCAGAGTGCCTGCTGGGAAACAGCACATCATTTGGAGCATAGTGTGAGAGACAGGGAGAGGGAGCAGGGCCTGAAACAAGCACAAGCACCCAGTTGTGTATGCTTCTCCAGCAAGTAAGAAGCTTGGACTTTATGGACTTTATTGGTTGGTGGTTTCAAATCAAGTGTTCATACGACAGTGGAGCTGTTCTGGTAGGATCAGGGTCCTACTTGTTTGAGGGTCCCCTGTTATTACTCCTCCTGTCCCCTGACGTACTTTCCTAAGGTTCCTAAGATTCTCCTCCAGCATAGTTTGAAAATTACTGCCCATCTATCAGAGGGTTTGGGGCAGAGGTCTGACTCAGTCGTGTTTTGTGTCTTGGAGGTTTTCCCTGGCTGCAGCATGAGAAATCTTGAAGCCTGAGCTAGGTCAGGAGCAGTGGAGAGAGAAATGAGAAGATAGGGTTCAGAGAGGTTGAGGCAGTAAAATCAATAGAAGGAAATGACTGATTTGATATGGGAAAAGGAAAGAATTGGTGACGATGCTTCCCGGGACTGGTTTGGAGTGCCCAGTAGGGCATCTGCCGAGGTGGGAAATGCAAAAGAGGGACAGGTTTGGCTAGAAGTTAATACAAGAAGCCAGAGGAGGAGTCCTACCAGGCAGTTGGCTGTATGAGCCTGGAGTTTGAAGGAGAGTCAGGCTGGTGAATGAGATATAAGAGACATCAGAGTCTAGGTCCTTCTCAAAGGGACTGTGTTTCAGGGAGACTCAACGAGGTGGTTGTGGATCTCAAATGCCAGGCTGGGGCAGACAGACTTTGTTCTGTTGGCAGTAGGGAGCCATGGAAGGTTTTGGAGCCAGAGAGAGAACTGTCTTTTCAAAGAGGACTGGGTTCCTCTCTCATGGCATAGGCTACTTCCCCAGGGAGCCTGCCTGAGTAGCCCAGCTCTGTTCTGGCCCCACTGTGAAGCCACAACTAGCTACACCCTACTCTGGTGTGTGTGTGTGTGTGTGTGTGTGTGTGTGTGTGTGTGTGTGTGTTTTCTGTGTAACACTGGGGGAGGTGGCAAGAAAGATAAATGAGCAGACACTGGGGTCAGGCAGGTCTCCCCTAATCAGATAAGGCGGAAGAGAAGGAATCAGTTAAGCAGCCTCCATTTTCTCCTTACCACCTGCTTCCTGGGCATTCATTCATTCTCTCAGCCCCATTAACTACCTGCACCTCCCCACACTTTATTGCTACCCTCCCACCTCCACCCCAAGAGCATGTGTGTGCCTAGCACACACTTACACATGTACATGCTCACTTGCAAATGCACAGCACCCCCCATGGGCATTAGGCTACTAAGTAGGGTGTGAAATACAATTTTCGTGCATGCTGGTGGCTGCTCCTTAAACACTCCCTGTGCAGCTCCCTAGCCCCTCTTATACTCTGGCCTTTGACACCCTTCCCCTCCCCCCTTTAAAGGGACTACCTTTACACAGGAAAGGAGGTGGTCTCAGCGTCAGGGTCAGCTCTGACTTGTGTCTAACAGGCTCTGTGGTGGTCTAGGCCCACCAGTGTAAGCACAAAAGAGCCAATGGCCCAGACAGGCCCAGGTGAGACTTGGCTGCCCTCCTGCAGCTCTGATCCACCAGGCCTGGGTGGTAGCTGGGGAGGGGCAACCCCTCCTTACCCCCACCCCCAACTCCTAGAGTTCCCCTCAACAGCCGTAGTGACAGCTATGGTTACAGGCAGCGCCACTGGGTTCCTGTCCTCTCTCACTGAGCCTCTGCATGGGAGGGTGGGGGGAGTGGTGGACAGTGGTCCCAGCTTGGGAGGTCTGGAGGGAGCAGGAAGATGGAAAGCTCTAGACACCCAGTCCCTCCCCAGCTCTCTGGGACATGGCTTGGCCCAGCCTCCACATCTGGCAACAGAAACTTGAGCCTCAAGCCTGTCATCTTCATAAGACAACAACTCTGTCTCCAAAACACTTTCCCATATGTTTGCTTCCAGCCCTGAGAAGATGGGTGGGGCAGGATTATTAACCCCAATTTGCAATAGAGAAATGCAGCTCTAATCTGAGATTTGGGAGGTAGATTCTGGGAGCAGAAGCTAGTGATAAAGTGGAAGGTGGGAACAGAGGCAAGACTGACTATAGAAAGGCTAAACCTGGAAGAGCTGGGGGAGGAGGCAAGCAGGGAAAAGCCCCCTGCAGAGCCTTGGCACCCCAATTCCTTGGATGCCAGTGATAATGAGGACATCGGCTAACATTTATTGAACATTTAATATATGCAATGTTCTGACCTAAGGACAGAACATTCATTATCTCATTTATTCCTTACAACAAACCTGTGCTGTTGTCGTTCCTGTTTTTTAAATGAGGAAACTGGTTGATGGGCCCTGTCCTTTCCAACCCAGGGAGGAATTGGGCACCTCCACTGCCAAGCCAGTGGATTAGAGCAGCGCCCTGGCTTGGCACTGTTTCCCCAGGATGATCAGGGTGAGAGGGATGAGAGAGACAGAGATGGATGAAAGAGCGGGATGGGGACGGGTGTGGAAGGGAGGGCAGGCCACTGGGACTCTGGGAAATGGGCTCCCAGAACTTGCTTCTGAACGTCAGATGGATTCCTGAGGGAGCCCTGCTCAGCTCACAGTCCTAACTCAACACCCTAGCAGGGTCTCAGAGCTCACAGTTTGGGATGTTTCAGGTCAAGTGGCAAAAGGATGATATGGACAACAACCTTAACTTCTTCTCTGTGTCATCTGATGGCAGGATCGTGTCTTGGACACTTGTGAAGGTGCCTATTTCCCAGAAAGGGTTATACAGGGGTGGATGGGGAATGGGGGGAGCTGAATGCAAAAGGGACCCCCCAACCCTGCTGATCCAGACCAGTCCATGTGTCCTTCCCATCCCTCTGTGCCTGCAGAGCGAGTTGGTTCACACAGATGTCATCAAGCTGAAGGTGGAGGGCAGCACCAAGGAAGGTCAAGATGGCCTACAGCTGCACACAGTGGGTAGGAGCCCCAGCTCACTCACCTCCAGGCCTGTCCGCAACACTCAGGCCCTGTGAGGGTCAGTGATGATAGCCCTCCCCAGGACTGAGCACTCCCTCCTCCTCTTGTACTAGAGGAAAGCCTGGTCTTCTCTGCCCAGCCCTTGGCTGTTTGCAGACCCTCCCTGTTTATGCAGATCAGGTGCTGTTATGTAGATCAAACCCTGTTTATGCAGATCGGGCCCCTGTTTACCCAGATCCTGTCCCTGTTTACTCAATTCCTACCCTGTTTATGCAGACTATATCCCTGTTTGCACAGACCACGTCCCTGTTTGCAGACCCTGTCCCTGTTTACCCCGAGCCTGTTTAACTCAATCCCTACCTTGTTTACCCAGGCCCCATTCCTGTCTGCAGAAGCCCTGGCCCTTTGCAGAGTCCCAACTGCCTGGGACAAGCAGCAGGCCAGAGGGCTGGTTTCTGTTTGCCTGGCTGGCCCCATCCCTCACAGGGGCTGGGCTCAGGCTGTTCCAAGGGCCTGCCGTGGAGGGGAGGTGTGGGAAGCCTCCTGCCCAGAACCCTGCTAAAGCTGCTCCCTCTTCTCCCAAGGCTGTGGCACTGCCTTTGACTTCCACAAAGAAATCGACGACATGTTTCTAGTGGGCACAGAGGAGGGAAAAATCTACAAGGTGAGGCAGTGTGGCCCCTATGCCAGCTCCTTATGGGGCAGCTTAGACTGAGTACCCTGCAAGCTTATTGTTCTCAACAAACCTATTCTGACAGATATTAGTGCTCATCAGTTCTAGAAGGCTTTTGGTGGGAGAGAATGTATTTCTTGAGCTGTTTGGGTGGCAGGAAGAGGGGCTCTGACTGCAAGAAACGGGATGAAGAATCTAGAGGGTGACTTTGGCCCGGCCCAGCGTCTTTCTTTCTGGGTGCTCCCTCCCTTCCTAGTAGTGGAGTGGGTGGATTTGGGAGTCGGGTTTAGGAGCATTGGAACATTCTGGAAAGATTACCTGGAGTAGATCTGAACTTGAGCTGCGCTTTGAAGGCTAAGAAACAGGAAGATTTATCTCTGAATATCTGGCGCATCCCATCGGCAAGGTAGAGCTTTATGGCCAGTTTCTGCAAGGTCTCAGTGTTAGTGGGTGAACACCCTGATGTTCTCCATCCATCCAGAAATAGCTCTACTGAAAGCTTTTCTTAGGCTCAGAGACTCAGAACGTTAATTACAGGCAGCCTCCCGGGAGTCCCTGAGGCCCAGCCAGAGCTGGTCTGAATGCAAAAGAGGTCCCCACCCCCCTCCATCTCTCCCAAAGGTGGCCCAAAAGAGGCTGGAGGGAAGAAAATGAGTCAGTCATGCTCCTCCTGGTGTAAGCGGGGAGGGAGCATGCTGGTCAGGGCCAGCAACCGAATGGGAAAAGAGTGAGATTGTGATTTGCTCCTGGCTCTGCACCTGCTCGTACCTGGGTAAAGTGGGAGGTTCATCATTGTTGCTAGGATTCTGTCTGTGGGCTTCGGGTGGGCCCAGGGCTCTGTCTGTCTGTCCACAGGCCTTGGCCTGGACACAGTCTAGGCCACACCTCACCGAGGACCCCCAGACCTACTCTGCCTTGGCTCCGAGAGAAAGGGCCCTTTCCACCTGGCTTAGAATCCTCTGGGCCGACTACAGCACTTTCCCTCAGGAAGTCTCCCCTGCCTACCCCAAACTCCAGCCTCTTGAACCCCTCTCTGGGTGTGTTGTGGGTGAGAGGAGCAGCCAGCAGTTTGGCCCCAGCTCAGCAGTGACAGTGATGTGGGGTGAGGACAGCAGACTCCGGAGTCTCAGGTTCTGATCCTCCAGGGCACCGAGGAAGTGGTGGCTGGGGACCTTCTCTCATTCCTGACACCGATCCCTCCCCACCCTCCATCCCCACCCCACAGTGCTCCAAATCCTACTCCAGCCAATTCCTCGACACCTATGATGCCCACAACATGGCAGTGGATGCTGTGTCCTGGAACCCTTACCACACCAAGGTCTTCATGTCCTGCAGCTCTGACTGGACAGTGAAGATCTGGGACCACACCATCAAGTGAGGGGCCTGCCCCTGGCCCTGCCCTCCCTCAGGCCCAGCCATGACTGGAGCGGGCTGGAGCCTGTGGGCTCTGGTACTGTGAGCCCTGTGTGTCATGAACTTTCCACCCCTCTACCACTGCAGGACCCCAATGTTCATCTATGACCTAAATTCAGCCGTAGGCGATGTGGCCTGGGCACCATACTCTTCTACTGTGTTTGCAGCTGTCACCACCAATGGGAAGGTGAGTGCCCCCTTCCTGAACCTGTTGAGCCACTACTGGAGATAGAATGCGGTACTTCACGGTGACCCTCGTGGAGAGCCCACTGTGTGCCCAGGTGAGGTAGGGGAAGATGGGATATAAGGACTGTGTATTCTCAAGGGCCAGGCCACCCAGGGCCCTGTCAAAAGAGGAACTGTTCATCCTATGAGGCCTCAAGGATGCCTTTTTGGGGCTGTTCATCTTGAAAGAGCGTTCTGGGATATTAGACACCCGGAGGAGCAGTCATCTTCTCTGAGGCCCCTGGGAGGAGGGGGAGCTACAGGGTGGCAGGCACCAGCTGATGTAAGGGAAAACTCATGAGTCCCATTTTATCTGTGATTGAAACAGTGTCTAAGAGGTGGTGAAGTCCCCATCCCTGGACATGTGAAAGTTGAGTCTGAGAAGAGGAGATGGGAGGGGTCTGTTCAACACTGAGAATTGGTGAAAGCTCAGCAAAACACATTTTGTAAGAAAATTCTTAGGTACAAACCCATTTTCCTTATGGACTTTGATATAAACAGAGAAACACCTACCCAAGGAAAGAATATAGTGATTAAAGAATCACGCTAAAGTCAGTCATCTATTTGCTGAACAGATGTTTATTTACTAAGGGCCAACGATGGCGCCCAGCTCGAGGCCAGGGCCTGGTGATTCAGCTCCCTGCTCTCATAGAGTTTATATTCTACTGAAGGGAGAGAGACAAAAAGCAACAACAAAATTCCTGTAGTGTTAGTGCTAGACCAAGATTAAAAGAGGATGAGGTGTGCACACAACTGTTGGTAGCAGCATTATTCCTAATGGCCAAGTAGTGATACAACCCAAATGCCCATCAACTGATGAATGAATAAACAAAATGTGGTATATCCGAAAAGGTTATTATTCAACAATAACAAGGAATGAAGTACTTGATACATGCTACAACATGGATGAACTTTGAAAACGTGCTCAGTGTAAGAATCCAATCACAAAAGAGCACACATTATATTGTTCTATTTATATTTTTCTAAATAGGCAAATCTTTAGAGACAAAAAGTAGATTTGTGGTTGCCTAGGACCAAGTGGGTTGGGAGAAAATGGGAAATGACTGCTAATGGGTACAAGGGTTCTTTTTGGGGTGATGAAAATGTTCTAAAATTGGTTGTGATGATGGTTGCATAACTGAATATACTAAAAACCAAGACTTGTATCCTTAGTGAATTATATCTCAATAAAGCTGTGGTATTTAAAAAAGAAAGAGAGTGATGTAAAAAAAAAGGACTGAGTGGTCTCTTAGATAGAGTGATCAGGGACAGCTTCCTTGAAGAGGTGATATTCAAGCTGAGAGCTGAATGACAGAGAAAAAGCTAGCCATGTGAAGATTGGGGGTGGGGTAGGGGAGGCGGGTATTCCACAAACAGGAATAGCTAGTGCAAACACCCTGGGGTAAGAATGAGCTTGAGGAGTTTAAGGAACAGGTAGGCAAGTGTGGCTGGGGTCTAGTAAGCAAAGGGTCTGAGAGAGCATGAGAAATAGAGAGTCTAGAATTAGGACACTGGATTTTACGTATAGTGCCGAGGGAGACTATTGGAGGATTTTAGATTTTTTTAAAGGTAAGTCTGGCTGCTGCATGGAGAATGGATTGTAGAAGGGCAAGAGTGGAAGCAGGGAAAGCAGTTAGGACACTGCCACAGTTGTCCAGGCAAGAGTTGCTAATCGTTTGGACTTAGGGCGTGGTAAAAATAAGAGCAAACATTTGTTGCACACTTATATGACAAGCACTATCTGAATACCTTACATATATTAACTGATATGAACCCTGGCTATGCTACTTACTAGCAAGTTAGCCTTAAGAACCTCTATCTTCTCATCTATAAAATGGAGATAATAATGGGACCTACCTGATAGAGTGACTGTGAGGATTATAATTAGGTTACAACCATGTAACATGCTTGCCCAGTCTAGTACATAGTAAGTGCTCAACAAATGGTAGCTGCTATTACTGTTAATTCTGCATAGACTTAAATTTTCTCCTAAACTTTTTATTTTCATTTCCTCAACCACAGGAAAAACATAAAGAGACACAAATCCCCTCGCCCACTGCCTCCAGCTCCAGTGTGCTTGGCTTATGTCCTGTTTCCCCAGAAAGTCCAGGGGGGGATTCCTCTGAGGTGAGCGACAAGGGCATCATTAACCCTGAGTGTGCTGACACCCACCTTTCCACAGACCCACGTGTTTGACCTGTCCATCAACAAGTACGAGGCCATCTGCAACCAGCCCGTGGTGGCCAGAAAGAAGAACAAGATCACCCATGTGCAGTTCAATCCCATCCACCCCATCATCATTGTGGGTGATGACCGTGGGCATGTCACTTGCCTCAAACTCTCGCCCAACTTGCGAAAGATGCCAAAGGTACGCTTGAGGAGTTTGGGCTGCTGCAAGTAGTCTCCAGGGTGGTGGGGGATGGGAGAAAGGAAAGAACCCGGGAGCAGCCCCCAGGTTTGTGGCTTGGGAATCCACAGACAGGGTGGTGTCATAGCCCAAATGAGGAGCATGGGAGAAGCAGGTTTGTGGGGAGACAATGAAATCAGATTGGACATCCTGAATCTGAGTTACCTGTGGAACTCCAGGTGGAGATATCCAGTAGCAGGTAACCATATGGGTCGGAAGCCTGGGGGAAGCACATGGGCACCATTGGCTTAGTGTAGACCAGGTCACCCAGGCAGGGGGCTCGAGGCTTAGTCACTGCTTCATTGGTTAGGCTTACATAGGGCTTCAGCTCCAATGGTCCCTGAGCTGGGAGCTATGGGTCCACACAGGGGAGAAGGAAATGATCCGTGAGGAGGGTAAGTAGGTCAGCAGCCAGGCAGTTCCTCCTTTTGAGCTCAGGTTCCTTTCTGGGATCTTTAATGATCTGGAGACCCTCCCCAGAGCCCAAGGGCTCCAAATACAGGTCATGGAGCGGAGCCCAGAGCTATGACCTCAAAGTCTAGATCCAGACTCCCGATTCAGACTTAACCCAGACCTTAGAATCCAGAGCCCAAGAACCCAACTTCAAAATCAGGAGCCCAGGGGCCGGCCGAGTGGTGCGTTGGTTAGGAGTTGGCTTGGGACGCCAGCTCTGAGCAGCAGGGCCCCAGTTCAGATCCCGCATGCAGGCCAGTGACGCTGCGCCCTCTACAGCTAAGATAGTGAACAACAGCTCGACCTGGAGCTGGGCTGCCGTGAGTTGCCGGCGACAGTGTGGGCTGCAGTGGGGCTGGCAGGCAGCGGGCGTGAGCTTTCGTGAGCCGCTGCGAGCCGCTGTGAGCGGCTGTCCAATGGCTGGTGCGTGACTGCCTCACCCGGGAAGAGCGCAATGATAACACCAACATGGGCCAGTGAAGTGATGTCCCCCACAACTAGACTGAAGAATAAAAAGGACAGCAATTTGTCTGTTTCCCTCCCCCAACTCCCCAATAAAATCTTAAAAAAAAAAAAATCAGGAGCCCAGGAACCCAGAACCCAGTCCTGCCCACTTGGGTGCTAAGAGAGGAAATGGAATTTGCTTTCTGCCAAATTCTGGGCCAGGATCAGAGCAGGGCCAGGGCTGGGCCAAATTGCCCTGATGACTGTACCTCATAGTTGCAGTTTGAGGCAAGAGCAAGGGCCTATCTCTTTCAACTACTGATACCTGCCCCTCTGCACCCCTACCAAGGCAGGGTCCACTGCACCATCCCTCCGGTGCGGGCCTGGTCTATTCCCTCCCATGGCCAGGAAGGCAGGGGCTGGAAGTTTGGCCAGGCCTGTAATTGTAGCCAGCTGGGGGAGGGGGTGGACTTACAATAGCTATAAATACTCAGAAGGCTGCTAAGCGCCTACAGCTGTGGCCCAGAGACTGTGGTGGGCTGGGGCTGGGGGTGGGGTGGGGTGGGGTGGGGTGGGGTGCAGTGGTCGGGTGTGGTCTGAAGCTCTTTGCTGAGCCCTGCGAGTTGGCCTTAAGGAGGGGGAAGGAGGCAGCACAATTTGTGGAACAGATAAAATCTGCTCTTCATTTAGTGAGGAGAGAGACCCAGGCTTGAGCTGGCACAGCTGGACAGTCCTGTGGGAGGGATGATGGTCACCCCCTGGGGTAGGGGTAACAGCCATCAATCATGCTGTGAGCGTTGTCAATCTGGGCTGGGGCCTGCCCTGCCCACTCTGACCCAGGGAGACAAGGATCTCCCACAGTCAGTCCCAACTCTCAGAGCAAGGGTCAGCCATGGCTGGGAGAGCTGGGCTCTGTGTATCTGATGACCTATATCTCTGAGGACCTGAGGACATGGGTACCTTGGGACCAGAAGACCTGAGCAGGTGACAGCTGGGAGCTGATACTTGGATAGATTGGAGGTTCCTATGAAATTGCCATCTGACCCTATCAGCAGCCAAGTGATTGGTGCAAATGAAGTCCCCTGGGCATCCCTCCTGGCTCTTCTCCTGGGGCCGCAGCCTCCCTGCCCTTCCTAAGAGGACTTGGCCACACAGGTCCAGCTCCCCATCCAGGAAGCTTCCCATGATTAGTGTCAGAGCCCAGCTTATCAAAGGTAAAGGACTGTCTTTCCCTAACTACTGTATAAATGGGAAACTGAATCTCAGAAAGGCAAGAGACTTGCCCAAAATCAGATAGGGGGTTAATGACAAAGCTGAAGCTACAAGCCGGGTCCCCTACCTCCCACGGGATGGGGTGAGGCTAAGAAGAGAGAACATGAGCTTAATTCGGGGGGAGAGTGGGGAGAAAAAAAGATATCTTTGTCCTCTGCCTTGAGAGTATAGAGGTGAACTGAATCGTGGCAAAGGCACTGGGCCCCAAGAGGAGGGGAGACAGATTTGGGAACAGGTGCAAGGGTCACACGAGGAGGAAATCTGAGCTCCACCTGGTGTCAGCAGCCGGGTTGGGGCCAGGAAGGGGGCTACTGGCCCTGCACTTTCTCCCACATCGCAGCCCAGGCCAGACCCAGGCTGGCTTCTCCACAGGCAAGGCTGGGGCAGGTGCCAGTGAGCAGTGGGCACAGGTGGCTGAGAAGGCGGGGGGTTCGGGAGCAGAGGGAGGGCAGGAAATGGCAGTTGCCCCAGCCTAGCCCACATCCCACTTCCTGGACAGAAGGGAGATGGGACTGGTGCTGGTCTGCCAAGGAGCTCTCAGGGCCTGTGAGTGACACGCACCCCAGTGTCCCAACTCTTTCTCAGGGCCCAGCTTACCTAAAGCATTAGAGTGCTCTGTAGGAGGGGGTGAGGGTCATAAACTCAGATCTGCTCTTCTGTGGGACTGTCCCAGCCAAGGACATCTAGAATCACATGGGCTATCTCATCTGCCCTCCTGGGTCTCCCAACTTCCTCTCCTACCCTGAGTATGTCTGACACAGCAGGCCTGACCCCAAATGTCACCCCACTCCTAAGCTGACCTAAAAATATTATGTTAGAGTACTAGGTGAGGGCACCTAAGGCTTTGTCCACACCCCGTTCCCTCTGCAAACACACAACCCTTAGCTCATTAGAACTCAGCCAGGGACCTTCCTGTGGGAAGGGTGGTCCTAACAGGCAAAGCCCTCACCTGTCCCCAGGGCTACAGCTCCCTCTGGCTTGAAAGGCTAGTTCCTCCAAGGATCAGTAGGCTGATACCTTTCCCCACTCCTCCCAGCATCAAGACTCTATGTCAATTGGAGGTTCAGAGCCAGAGCTGGATGCTTCTTGCAAGCCTCTGCCGGACCCTTGTGTCACCTGACCTGATTTGGGGAAAATCATGTGGGGGTGGGAGGAGGCAGAGATCTAGAATCTAATGGGCAGGGGAGGGCAGGGCGCAGCTGGGGTTGGCTGGGCAGAGGAGGTAGTGCTGGGACCCAGACAGAGGTGACCCATCCCTCACCATTTTTCCCCCATGTGTACTTTCCTTCTCCCCAGGAGAAGAAGGGGCAGGACGTGCAGAAGGGTCCAGCTGTGGAGATCGCAAAACTGGACAAACTGCTGAACCTGGTGAGGGAAGTGAAACCCAAGATCTGAAGGCCTGGCCTCAGTCCTGTCCCATTTCTTGAACCCAGTACTTGTAGCCCGTGACCCCGGTACTCAAGCCTAGCCTTAGCACCTAGAATGTGACCCCACTCCTGACCGGGTCCCAGCATCTGCCCTTATCACCCTACTTCAGCCATGGTCCCAGCACCTTGTCCCAGGACTTGGCCCTCAACCACCATTACCCACTCCTACTTTGCACAAATAAACCTGTGTCTGGAAGCCCACCTCCAACTTTAATTTTGCTACTGCAGGGCCATTAGGAAGAGGAGAAAATTTCAGGGTAGAGCCATAGTTCAATTTATTATCCAGCAAACAGTGGGAGGACCAGAGGAGGGGCCCAGCCTGGACACCCTCCCATTATTGCCATGGATTCCAGTTTGCTTCCCCAAACGAGAGGGCCTAGAGGCACTCGGCCTAGGGAGAGGGTGGACCCAGCCTCTGGCCCTTGGGATGAAGCAGAGTCCAGATGGCCCTGGCCCTAGCACCAACTCATGAACCCCAACCCCAGGCCTGTCTATCTAGGGCCACCAGCGCCCCTTTTTGAATCCAGGCTGGCTAGACTCTGGGCTGCTAGGTCCAGCTCCAGACAGGCTGGACTCTGAGTTCTGGACCACAGGCTGGCTGGACACTGAGATCCTGATTCCAGGCTCTGGGTGGAGTGGACTTAGGTCCCAGACTTCAGGCTAAGCCAAGGGCCTTCAGGGCTGCAGCAGGTAGCTGCCTTCATGGCTGGGTTTCTGGGGTGGGGGTGCCTTCTCAGGACAGGGGCCAGGGCTGGAGTTGGGACTGGATTCGGAGAGCGAGTCGATGTCAGCAGAGCGGGAATGGCAGGCCCAGCAGAGAATGACCCAGAGCAGCAGCAGCAAGAAGCCTACGAGGCCATTGCAGACGATGGCGATGAGAGCCCCCTGGGAGATGGCTGCCCCCATGACAGGCAGCACCCTTAGACCAGCGCAGACAGCAGGGTTGACAGCGAGGCTGACTCAATGGCAAGGCCCATGCCGAGGTGGGGCTCCGGTCTAGTCGGCCTTCCAAGGAGGCTGTCCTGTCCACACACTCAGTGATTCCTGGGAATGGAGATATCCACCTGTAGTCCTGAGCCTGTGGGGGAGGGCGATACAGAGTAAAGGAAAGGGTGGTGAAGAGAAGGGATGGGGTGCGGCCTAGGAGGAAAGGAGTAGAGAGCTCCCTCCCACATCTCTGGCCTCCCTGGCAGAGAACTTTGGGTCCCAAAAGGCCCAAATACTCCACAGAGCCAGCACTTCCATGCTCAGGCCTGGATCTGGGCACTGGGAGTGGGGTGTAGCCACAGTGGGGGAGCAACCTATATCTCCTTCTCCTTAGAACAGGTGGGCATGGTGTAACCCTGCCCACCAAGCTTCCAGCCCTCCAAAGCACTCTGCGAGTGGGTAGGGCCAAGGTTGCCGGAGGCCTCAGAGGACAGAGATTGTGACCAGCTTCATTCAGTGTGGCCTGGGCACCTCCCCCCCTCAGGACTCCAGCCAGCCAGGCAGCCCAGGAGACCTCCAGAGGCGCCAGCTCACACAGAGGGAACTTTGTGGAAGCCCTGGCAGGCATGTGTGGGTCTGTGTATCCCAGGCTAAGTACCTACGTGCGTCTCTCTCTGTGGGACTCTCTCTCCAGGTCAGGTGTGTGTCTGTCTCTTATTCTGTCTCTCCGTTCCCTTTCCTGGACGTGTGCCTCTGCCTCTGTATACCCACCTGTGTTTGTGTAGCTGTCTGTCCCTGTGTGTGTCCCCATCTCTGAGTGTCTGGGCGTCTCTTGTGTGTCTCTCTCTACCAGTCTGTCTCTTTGTGTATCTCTGTATCCATCTCTGCGTCTTACTCCCTGTCTCTGTGTGTATGGGTCTCTAGTGTCTCTCCTTTTCTCTTTCTTCATAGCTGTGTGTCCCTCTGTCCCTGTGGACATGTCTCTCTCCCCTTCTCCGTGGGGGTCTGTCTCTGTCGTTCTCTGCGTCTCTTTTGTGTTTCTGTCTTTGTGTCTGTCTTTCAGCCCGGCGACTGTGTCTCTGTGGATCTATGTGTCTTTATCTCCATCTCTGGGTCTCGGTTCCCAGTCCCCCGTGCCTGTGGGGGTAGGGCCCCCTTACCTGAGTTGAGCCCGGTGCGCGCCCGCGGGAGGGTCCAGGCAGTGGGATGCTGGGCGCCGACTGAGACTCAGGAGCCTGTGGGCAGGGGGCGGCAGGAGACGGGCAGGGGTTGATGTCCCCTCCCCCAGCCCTCCCCCTCGGCCGCGCAGCCTGTGCCGGCCGCTCCCGCCGCGGCGCGACCGGGGCGGCCTCTGCCGCGGGCGGTCTGCGGCGAGCCGGCACCTCCTCCCCCTGGGGCGGCGCCTCCTCCGCGGCCCCGGGCCGCTCGCTCGCTCGCTCGCTCGCTCGGCGGCCCGGGCGTGGGGTTCGGCTGGGCTCGGTTGCGTTCGGCTGGGCTCGGCTGGGCTCGGCCAGGCTCGGCGGGCAGCAAAAACAGCGAAAAGCCCCTCCTCCTGGGAGGCCGGCAGTCGGCGGCCAATGGGGGGCGGAGCCATCCCCACGCCGTTGCCGTCATTGAATTGGCTGGCCGCTCCAAGCTCCCGTGCAATTGGTCGTGCGTTGGGGTGCGGACTGGACCGCCCCTTGTGCAGGACGAGGGGCGGGAGCGGGAGGAGGGCTGAAGGGGTTATTCTGTCTTGATCCTTATACAAGGAGAGCGGGGCGGAGGGAGGCCCACCTATTTGTAGCGATTTCTCACACCTTCCACACCTGGAAGAGCTGCACGCCCAGCATCCTAGAAAAGCCAAAGCCTCTATACACCCATATCCGAGGAGGCCACCCCTCCATATCTGGGAGAGGTCTCTGTCCCTGTCATCTGGAGGAAGCCTCTACATCCCCACACCTGGGAGGCGATGGAACCTCCTCATCTTGAAAGCTCCTTATACTCTCTCTTTCAGTCCCACCTGGGTGTTGACTCTGCATCCCCACTCCAGAGTATCTATAGCTGGCTCCACATTCCCTGACCCCAGGAGGTGTGAGCAGCTTTGCCAACACAAGTTCTTTGGAAACATTTACAGAGTTCCGAAACATTTACAGAGTTCCCACCCAATATTGGTCACAGTTTGTGCTTTGCTCTGCTGTGAGGTAACCTAGGACAAAGAAGAATGTCCTGAGGGATGGCTCAGCCCTGGCTGGAATAGGACCAGGCATGACTGCAGCCTAGAAGCTCCTGACTCTCTCCATCCTAGAAGCTCTCCTAAGGAAGATCAGCTTGGTCAGGTAGGCCTCTCTTCCCTACCTCATATGCCAGTGATTCCTCCATGTTCTGAATTGGACCCTCTTCTTGCCCCATTCTACATATTCTCCGTGGACGAGCACATCCCTGCAGCTATACCATGAAGACAGTCCTCACAAATCCAGCCGTAACTTATTTCTGAAGTTCTAGACTCAGATCTAAGTGCCTACCAGAATCAGGGTGGTCTTGATTCCTGGTTCTACCACTTACCTAGCTTTGTGACTTTGGGCAAGCTATTAACCTCTTTTAGCCTCAACTTCCTCATCTGTAAAATGATTATATTGGGTTGTCGGAAAAGTCATGACATATTTTGTCTATGTTTTTCAAAGGTCATTTATTTATATAAAGAACAAAGATCAATCAATGATATATTGCCCGTTTTGTTCGATAACCTTTTGCCATCTTTCAGTGAGCTTCATAATTCCTTATTCATAGAAGGACCTGTCTTTATTTGCAAAAAACTGAACAAGGTGCTGATTTACGGCCTCATCTGAATTGAACGTTATACCACACAAGGAGTTTTGAAGAGAGTGAAACAAGTGGAAGTCTGACGGTGCAAGGTCAGGCAAGTACGGTGGGTGTGGCAACCATCCTATCCAAGCTCCAATAATTTTTGACGGGTAATCAAACTTGTGTGTGGTCTCTCATTGTCGCGATGGAACACAACTCCTTTATAATTAACAAGCTCTGGACGTTTCTGGATGATGGATTCGTTCAAACTGTCCAATTGCTGACAGTACACATTCGACTTGATTGTTTGGTTCTTTGGTAGGAGCTCAAAAAACACGACACCTTTAAAATCCCACCACACTGAGAGCATAACCTTCCTCTGATGATTGTCTGCTTTCAATGTCGTTTGAGGCGAATCATCACGTCGGGACCAAAACGGTTTGTGCACCACATTGTTGTAAACAATCCACTTCTCATCACCAGTTATGAGTCGCTTCAAAAAAGGATCGTTGTCCTCACGTTTAATGAGCATATTGCAGGTGTTTATACACACCATCAAATGAACTTCTTTGAGTTCATGCGGAACCCAAATATAGAGCTTGCTTACATATCCCAGCTTCTTCAGGTGGTCGTAAACCCTTGAATGATGGATGTTCAGTGTTTTTGCAATCTCTCATGTTGTGTAACGTGGGTTTGACTCGATCAATGCCTTCATTTTGTCGTCATCAACCTCGGTTGGCCTCCCTGACAGAGGAGCGTCGTTGAGATCAAAATCACCAGCACAGAATTTTGTGAACCATCGTTGGCACTGACGTTCTTGTAGAGCATTGTCATCGTAAACTTTACACAACTTTTCACAAGCTTGATGCGCATTCTTCCCTTTATGGAAGTAAAACAGTAAAATGTGGCAGAAATGCACAGTTTGGTCTTCCATCTTCAACTTGTTGTAAAATCTCCAAAACTCAACAAATTGCTCAGTTTTTTTTAGAATGAAACTAGAACTGTCAGCTATCAAATGACATAGCAATAACATAGATGCAAATGACTCTAGTACTTCCAAAAATGAACTAGTGCCATCTGTTGCAAACTTGCATCATGACTTTTCCGACAACCCAATAGTAATAGCTACCTCTCAGTGGTGTAATTCACTAATTCACTTATACGAGACCATCCACATCTCAGCAAATGCCAACTGGCACAACCCCAAAGACCACATGGCTAAGGGACCCCTCCCCCCAGTGCCATGACATTCACATGAGGTCCTTATAAATCCAAATGCTATCTTGAAAATGAGAAAGGGGTGAGTAAAATAAACTGAAAGACAGAGTCATCCAAACCTACTGAGTTACTTAGAGACTGTCTAAATAAATTTTTGGACCCCACTGAATTTACCAGAGTGGATTAATTTTAGTTGCCCCTGATGGTGTTACCCAGTAGGGTGGCAGCATTGTGAGCAAGATCAAATCAGTTCTAGGAAACAGAGGTGACTTCTATTATTGCACTTCTGAGTGTAATGTGAGTGAATTTGTGATCCAGCTGCAGGAATTCAGATTTTATCCTGAAAACAGTGGGGAGCCACTGAAGAATTTTGAGCAGAAGAGTAATGTGACCATATCCAGAAATTAGAAGGATGATTTGGGCTGCAAGGTGAAAGGAGGGATTGAAGGCGTTTGAGAGCGAAGGCACTGAGTGATGACAAGGGACTGAAATGATGTAGGAGAGTAGGAGAGGAGTGAACAGGACAGAACACTGAGGATATTACAATTGGCAAGACTTAGAGACCTAGGGCCGGCCGAGTGGTGCGTTGATTAGGAGTTGGCTTGGGATGCCAGCTCTGAGCAGCAGGGCCCCAGTTCGGATCTCACATGAGTGCCAGTGTCGCTGCGCCCTCTACAGCTAAGATGGTGAACAACAGCTCAACCTGGAGCTGGGCTGCCGTGAGTCGCTGGCGACACCATAGGCTGCAGTGAGACTGGCCAGCAGCAGGCGTGAGCTTTCGTGAGCTGCCGTGAGCCGCCATGAGTGGCCGTCCAATGGCCGGTGAGCGACTGCCTCACCCGGGAAGAGTGCAATGATAATACCAACGTGGGCCAGTGAAGCGACATCCTCCACAACTAGACTGAAGAACAAAAGGACAGCAACTTGTCTGTTCCCCTTCCCCAATTCCCCAATGCTATTTCCCTTCCCCAAGTCCCCAATAAAAATCTAAAAAAAAAAAAAAAGACTTAGAGACCTAGACCTATAGGATATGGGGGTAAGAGGAAGAGAAAATCTGGGATAACTCCCAGGTTAGTGACATGGGGTACTGTGATGTAATTTACTGAGATAGGGAACACATAAGAAGGAGTGAGCTTCAGCAGGAGCCTGGGGTGAGGGGGAAGATGAGTCCAGTTTTGGATATGTTGAATTTGAGGTACCAACTTAACACCCAAGTTGAGATATAGACAGTTGGATAAATAGGTCTGGGGGGCAGGAGAGAGGTCCAGGCTGAAGATAACATTTGTGAGTTAACAGCAAAGGGTAGCAGTCAAACCAGAAAAATGGATGAGCTCACCCAGGTAGAGTAAGAACTAGTTTAAGCAAAAAGATATGTTTATAATCAGATACTGAAACCTAAAAACAGGGGTTCTTCAAAAACAACTGGAACTAATAGACTCAAAAGCCATTATGTTGTCTCTCTACCTGCCATCTCTACTATTTTCTGCCTGTCTGCATTTCCCTTCCTTGCCTCCAGCTCCAGTTTTTGTAATCCCTGCCCCCCAACTGGTTTCCAATGCTCTTCTGGTCTACATGGTGAAAAACTTGACTTCAAACAATCCCAAAGCTTAAAATCTTATTGTCTAGGTATCCAACCACACACTGGCTCCTTTTTCTTGGTTGCAGTTTGCAAATTCCTCAGGAAGTACTCTGATTGGCTCAGCTTAATTAGATGTTTATCTTGGGACCAATCAACTGTGTCCAAGGGATGGATGAAGATCAAATGACCCCCATGGACATTGGTGGTGGTGGTGTGGGGGGAGGGTTTCCAGGAGAAGAGAGATCCTGAAAAAGCAGAATGACAGGTGTTCACCATAGTCCACCATTTTTGCCCAACATACATATAATTTTCCTACATATATGATTCCAAAAATTCCCTCACCTACATAATCCAACCAGTCCACATATATATGCCAGTAAATTCACTACCTCTCCAATGGAGGACAGCTCAGTGACACATCTAGCTACTGCTTCTGGAGGTCATTTCATAGAACCACAGTCTTTAAATATAGGTTCTCTGGGTAATATCCCTTCATGCTCTACTCAGGTTTCTATAATTTGTAAACATGGCTTCTAATAATTTCATTACTTTTGTTTAAACTACCTTTGAACAACCTTTAAGTCACTCCCCCCCTCAAAAAAGAGACCCCAAACCTCTTAATATTTAGAGATGGAAGAAATAGAGAATAAAGTGGAGTAAAAAGAAAGCACTGTACAGTGGTCACTAATTCCAACCATCATTTATATTTTTTTTGGCCATGAATAACAATGAAAATGATGGAACCAGGAAATCTCATGGCATCTGTTTGTTGGCGTACTTCTTTGGCTATTGAATTTCTTGGGCAGTCAATCGGGCTTCTTTAAGGTCTTGCACAGGGTGAGATCCCTTACCCAGTGTTGTCAGAGGATTTCTTTTTCTTTCATTTTTTTTTTAATTTTTATTGGGGAACATGGTGTTTTTCCAGGACCTGTTAGTTCCAAATCAAGTAGTTGTTTCAGTCTAGCTGTGGAGGACATTTTTTCAGGACCCATCAGCTCCAAGTGAAGTAGTTGTCTTCAATCTAGTTT